ACGGAGCAACCGCGCTGATGCAGGCGGCACGAGGCGGACACAAAGACACGGTGGAGGTGCTGCTCAGCGTTGGCAAGGCTGACGTTGAGGCGAAGGACCAGCACGGATGACAGCACTGATGCAGGCGGCACGTAACAAGCATAAGGATACTCATGAGCTCCCGCGGTTGTACGTGAAACGTAACTGAATGCACAAAGTTTAGATGCGCCTCAGCATTAATAAACATTGGCCCAAAAGGATGTGAGGACGAACCTTGTCTCACATGCTGCTTTCGAGGTTTCACATCAATACTGATGAAATAGTTATCATCAAGCACACGAATGTTGTGTAATCAAAGAGCATACCTGTCAGCTACACCTGCCGGCAGGGCCAGCGCCAGCGCTCGACTGGCTGCGTCCATCGCAGCGACAGTGGGTGTGCAGGAGAAATGAGCAAGAGGCCAGTGGGCTCACACTCCCAACTTCTAAGAATAGCACACGAGCGACTGTGATTGTACACGCGCAGGGAGAAGCTTCTAGAAGCATGCGCCACAGCTCGACTATCTAGCATAGCGCAGGTGTTCAATGCAGGCCGCTAAGTGTACAATACACAACTACATAAGCGCGCTGCGCCCTCGTTCTCAAACTTGCAAGCTTGCCTGTGTCTGCGGACAAACTCGGAGCGTATGTTAACGGAGGGTGAAGACCCTGACAATCTGCAAGCATCTTCTGAGACTGAGGTACTATCCTCTCAAAACATCGAGATGATAGTTTGGGCCGATATCAAAGGTGTTACAGGGGTACACACTTGCTGTCGCTTCGGATGCCGCGAACAAAATGGCGAACAGCACGCACAGGACCACTGTAATTTAGTGCTGTGGACTGAAAGTAGGCGAACTTGTACCTAAGGAACGTTGTTGTATCACCTGCAGCTTTATATACTTGCGGCGTTGAGGTGCGAGTTGCTTGGAGCAGAAATCTGATTTGGCGCGGGGGGATATTCGAACCGCGGGGATGGACTTTATATAGCGATGTTTGTGTATCGTTTATCGCCCAAGCAAAGATGCTCTGATCGTCGGAGTCCTTGATAATTTCTTGCTGCAGCTGTCGGAAGGCTCTGGTCTTGCCTTCTCCATACAAGACCGCACCTGGATGTCGAAGTCCCGACAGACAATACGCAATGCCCTCACCTTTCGTGGTGACCCTCCTCGACGCCCATGACATACGCATTGCCACACTGGCGTTTTCAAGCTCTTCTCTGAGTAAAAAGCTTTCCGATATGCCAGTGACCTCTGCTATGATCGAAGACGAACACCTCTTCGTTGTAATCCTCGTCCAACCAGATGCAAAAAACTCCACCCAAGGTGGCGCAATCAGCTCCTGTACTGCCTAGCCTCTGGTAAACCATCTGCTTTTGGCGAACGTAGACTCCATGTCAAGAATCAACGAAGTAGGCAAGACGGACTCCGGCTTGTCGGTACCATTGAAACATGGAATTAATAGCCTCGCTGAGCTCGACATGATTCATTTCATCAATACAGCAGGTATCGATCCAGAAGAATTCGTATCCAGCTTTTACTGCCACACGACATCCTTCCACAAGCTTCGCGTACTTGGTTTCTTTTCCTGCTTTGCGATGGGCTTGTACGTCCTGATACGACAGTTTCCCGGTTTCCCAAGTGTGCAAGAGGATAGCGTACGGCGGTGCGACGGTGGGCTCAAACTCTTCGTGTTCCAGCGTTGAAGCATTGATCAGCCACATATTAACGAATGCGTTCCGGTGATGTCGTTTTCACGTATCTGAACAGGTGTTATAGAATCCAACATCCAGCCTGTGCATAAGCACCAAACTGAGGCTGAACCAGGCCACCGTCCTCTCTTCCTTGCAATTCCACGAGCCTTGCAAACCTGTGTAGCTTTGAGGTGACGTGAAAGAGCGGCTGACGTGAAACATGAATGTGGCCAATGGTAAGCCGTGCCTACTCGTGATTTGTACAATTTGCATAGACACAAGTGTTGTAGATAAGCCCAGGGTGGGGCAACGCGGCGCGACTTCCGCCATTGTTCACCTCACCGCAACGCGTTTTCACACAATGCTGCGCTCATGGTGCTTGTTCTTCGAGACGACGCGTCAATCTACCGACAAAACTGTACCCTGAGGATAACCACCAAACACACTGCCTCAAGCCGTAGCGCAAGATGAAGACCAGCAAATTCGCCCCAAAAACGCCTCTAGAGCAGCTCACTCAGTCCAGAGCCGAGAAGCTGAACCAAGACAAGAATAGGGCTACGCGCCTACTGGGACGCTTGCGATGGAAAGCCGAGCTGCTTATGGTTTCGTACTTCAAAGTGATGGAGATGTTGCAGGCTGTTGACCAGCAGAATGGGCATTATGAGTCGCACAAGACTTTGGCAAGACAAGCAGAATCCATGTTCAAGATTGACTTCTTCGAGTTCTACACCCTTCTAGAACGATACATCACCGCCTGCCTCACTATTCTTGGCGTCAGTGTATCCGCGTCTGCACCTCGAGAGAACTTCAACGCCCTTCGATACATTACGAACCCGGATCTGCAGCGCACGCGCCCGTTGGCTTCACACGCTTTCCACGCAAATCTCTTGGAAGCACTCGACGACGAAAACTGCCCTCTACACAGCTCGCTCGGCGTACAAGATGTTCGCATACAATTGGGCTTGGCGAAGGACTACCGCAATGCATGGAAGGATGCAGATGAGAAGGAAGGAACGGACAGCTGGAATGCCGACAGAGAGAGCTCTTCCAAGAACGTCAAGTTGCCTGAGCTTGGGCTTGAAGCAATGCTAAGGATCCTCATCATTGGCTGCGGGCACGCAAACGATGTCGTGCAAGCTTATGCAGTCGCTGACGTGAACGGCAGCAGCCTGTCCAGTCAAGACTTTGAGCATCCGACTTACGCCTACGACAGCATGGTTACGGGTGATATACCACTCGAGTACATGGACGATGCAATGGAGCTCGACTGAGCAGGACCCAACATGCGCACCTATTGATGTACACAGACCCTATCCCAGCGCTTCGTCGCTGCGAGATTGTCTGATGCTCACACTTCCCCAACCTCGACTAACACGACAATGCGTACAAGCGAACGTCACTGATACTCCCAACGACTCCGTGGAACAGAGAGCCAATCGCTGATGTAAGGATGCTCTAAATTCTCTACACAAAATGGTATCTAAGACGCAAAACTGCAAACGCATCCGCGCCGGTGTGACGGCATTACTCAGCCCAAGTACCATTACATGTCGACTCAAACAGCGATCTCTTTCGTCATGCCATGGCCCCTGCTCTGTTCGTCCTGAAGCATGCTGTCTGCTCTTTCTCTGTTTGCGTCCGTGCGCGGGGTGGCTGTGCTTGCCATCTTCTCCTGTTCATACTCCCATTTACACCTTTCTTTACAATCCCAACAAACGCTACGCTTGCACACTCGCATGTCGTATTTCCACTCATGTCGATTCAGCATCTCATGACAGTGCGCACAATCCAGAGGAATCACCACAGTCTCCAGGTCGCCCAGCCGTCTCGCGATGCTCAAGCCCTTGCTTGTGCGTGTCCTCAGCCTCATTTCGCCATCGCCTTGTTGTTCGATACCGTCGAAGACAACAAGCTTGTCGAACTTGCACCACCAAGCCGGTCGTCCACCCGCCTCGGTCTTCGCACGAACCGATGTGCTAGTGAATGCCTCTGCTTGAGCACCCGGTCCAGGTATCAAGCAGCCATTGACGGTTGCACGTGGCGGCGTAAAGACATGTACCTTCTCCTCAACATCTCTCTTCTTCGGCGACATGTTCAACCGGTCTTGCAATAGCTGTGTGGGCGACCGCAATGCAGCCTTCGATTTTGTCTTCGAGTTGCGGATGAGATCATATCGCAGATCGAGTTCGGATCGGGGCTTCGCTGGGTCTGGCGCGCTGTTGAAGCCAAGGTTCAGTTCGGCGGGGCGCTGCAGTCGGGCGATCGATTTCGTTGGTTGAGGTGACGCTGTTGTTGGTTTCGAAAGCGACGAAACACGTGATCGTGCGAGGACATGGTCGTTCGAAGCGATGGAGGACGGTTGTGAAAAAGCCGGAGAGCTCTCGTTATCGGACATGTATACGCCTGAGTCTCGATCACGGAGGTTTGTCTCAATCTTCCCTAATGCCACCGGATCTGCCCTCTTTTCGACGGACAGGGCGGAGCCCGATTCTTTTGGTACAAGAGATAGCGGTCGCGACCGTGAAGTAGAGGTGCCTTCTTCCTCTTGACTCGGTTCGATTGTAGCAGAGGGCTCCTCTATCGATGTCGATTCGGGTGCCGGAGACCTAGTCCGTGGCGCGTTCTCTTCGTTTTTCTTTAATTCCACCACGGTCTCCCCATCAGTCGCCATACTCCCACTCGCATCGGTATGGTCAACAGGAGATGGCTCCTCAGGCACAAGAGCCAGCGATTGTGGGTGTGGCGATGGTTCATCGATGTCCAACAACGAGTTGTCCACCTTTGTCTCACTGCCCAGGGTTTGTTGTTGTGTGGGTTCTTCGTACTGCTTCGAACTTGGTTCGGCCGGCAGCGTCGATGTTGGCCCGATGACCGGTGTCTGGTCTCCTGGGAGTTCCTGTGCATCTTCGTCAAAGAGGAAAATTCCAGAGTCTTGGTTGCCCGGATTCAAGTCGACAGCTTTTGAGGTACCCGGAATGATTACGCTCAGCTCTTCCGTCACGGCAGCATCGCTGAGGAGCGGAGACTTGGATTCGTCTGGTTTCGAGCTTTTCCAGAAAGCAAAAGACGGCATTATGAAAGAGTGTCAGAACAACAATCAAAAGAGGGACTCCGAGTTGAACGGTAAGGAATGACGACCAGCTTTGCACTCAAGGTCCCGAGGGCTCTTGTCCTCAAATGGAAGAACCTGATCCTCCTTTTCATGGCTCGGCGCAGGCTACTCCTAGCATCTACTTGCCCACCGGCCGCATCACCGTTTCTTCTTCATTGTCGACACGTGCGAGTTGCGTCTTACCCGTCAGGATACTCTTGCTGTGTGATAATCGCATGCCCCACTCTCATTGGCCGATGCGTTCTGAAACGCGGAGAGCTGGGAAGCGCGTCGTCACAGCTATGACCTAAGATGTTACAGACGGGATTGCAACTTCATGCGCACGCTAAAATGAGCGGGACTGGTATCGATAACGGGGACCTTGGGTTTATGCGGTGGGGTGCAGACGTTCCAAGACTTCGGGAGATTCGCGACAGAAGCTCCCGAAAACTGACAGGCAGGGTTCAAGGTGGAACCTGTTGCGGATATCGAGACCGATACCTGTTTGATACAGATCCTCTGGACGATACAAGTGTTCGTTCGAGCTGGGTTGCACCATTCAAGATTCCATCTCTAGCAACTGCCGGCTGGTGTCTTCACATGGCACAACCATAATACCAACCCGCGATGCACCTTTCTTGCCATTTGAGCAAGTTCTCATACTTGACCGGGACCTTCAGTTGAATCCGAGTGTCGTTCTCAAGTCACTGACAAAAAAACAGTGCGTATGATGGATTCCAATATACGATCCAACCCCGCACACTGCCTGATGAGGCAATGTGGATGTGAACTGTCGATTGTAGTACTACGAGAGGGCGAATATCTACATCGTGCGGAAAGCGGGCCTAGTAACGAGCTGGCCAATGAGAGCGCTGCATCTGCGCGGACACTGCCCCTACCACAACAGCCAGTCCCTCCTAGCGCATGTCATCCCATGGTGCATACATCGACTTTCTCCCCTTCCAATCTGGGGGCACTTCAAAGTGCGAGTTCTCTACCGCTTTCCACAGCTCGGCAGAGTCTTGATCGCGATTCCTCGCTTTCCTCACCACATACGCCAGATCCTCAAAGTTCGAACCCATCTGCCCAGCAGCCTTTGAGCACCAACTTCAGTGTCTTTTCGTCGCCTTCTCTGAGCGCACAATACGCTACGCCTTTGTGTATCTTCTCACGAAAGTCCTCAGGAACTTTCTGTAGCTTCGATTCAAAGTTTTCCTTGGAGCCTTTGCGGAAGGCGAGGAAGACTTGTTCTAAGGGCGTTGTATCTGCAACCGTCAGCCCAAAATCTACTTGAAACGCCATAGTGCTGACCTTCTATGATTTGCCAATTACCAATGCACACACTTGATCATGAAGCCAAGCGCGTTTCTAGCAGCCATGTTGATGTACTTGTGCTCCCGGATCAAGTGTTGGAAGACCTGCTGGGAGTACTTCACTTCGGTGATCGAGCCGGCTTTCTTCGTGAGATAGGTTGGGCGGTAGCAGAGGAGTTCGGGAGGGGCCATGACAAAGACCCAGGATAGTTTTGCATTACGGATGCTGAACAAGTCGAAGATGTCAGCAGCTGTTCGATTGTTGAATCGGCAAAGCTGACGTAGCGGACTTGGGCACAACTACGTGGGCTGTGCAGTAGGCTATCAATGATCCTTGCGGAATGCTCGCGAAAACACTGTAGATAACAGCATCGAATCTACCTACTCCAATTCGAGTCCTTTCAATGCAAGTCGCATGCTGCGAAAGCTTCTATCATAAGGACCCACGGACTGGTCTTCCGCTTCGATAACTGCACATCCATCCAGCTACGCAAGCTTCGACATGATGAAATCCTTATACCCAACCGCATTTCCGTGACTGGTGCTTCGCAACCAACCTGGAAACTAGGCACTCTCGAAGCCCAACCTGAGGCCAACCATAGAAACATCCTCGCTGCCTTGTCTCTTCCATCGACAGCTCAGCAGCAAAGTTCTCAAACTCACTGCGAATCTGACCCTCGCTCTGAACGTTGGGTTGTACTTCCGCGTCCGCGATCCCACGGTTGTATTGGAGGTTCTGGAACGGCATGTCCAGGCCTGCAGCACGCACGAGTGTATGCGACAGGTGCAGCATAGTAGCTTGCTCGGGCTCACGGCGGACCTCTTCACTGTGGCGGAACTGGTGGAGATCGATTCGTCGACGCTGTCCCGGGCGCGGAGAGGATAGACCCGAGACTCATTTTGTCGGCCGTTGATGGCGCGGTCGACACACTGGGGACAGTCGATGGGAGGCTCTTGGGTAAGAAGCGAAAATTGGAACCGGCGAAAGACTCTGGAAAAAAAGGATTGGGGGAGCGAAGGAAATGATGTGTATAGTGCAAACAAGACAGTCAGACATGGAGCGGCAGGAGAGACAAACGGAAGGCGCTGTCTCACTGCTCGTTAACACAGGTACAAACTGAGGCTGTTAGAGACGAGCTTGAGCGAAGAGAAAAGTCTCATTAGCCACAGATCTATACGCAAGATGTTGCAAGTACCCGATACATATACAGTAAATCATCCGCCAGATGTCCATCGTCGTAAATGCCCGTCATCGTCCATAACTAGGGAAGAACAGTGTCGCCGAAGAATGGTATGCAAACAAGATAAAGGAAGAAATAAGCAAACGCGCCTGAGGTGAGGCCGAAGCCAAGGTAGCTTTTCCGTATGTTGAAATGCCGTGAGATGGGGAACGCCCAGGATGCAAGTTCGCCGTTCTTGCCAAACTTTTTGAGACTTTTTGAGAACTTTTTTTGAGACTTTTCGAAATGTCGTGTAAACGAGAGATGCCAACTTTTGTGCTTTCGTTGCCGGAAAGTGTGTCGCTGCATCATCGCCGTGATGCTAGGCGGATCACCATTGGTGTCGTGTCGTAGAGTCTTCACGCGTTACTGCTCCCCCAAGGTCCACTCCCCCTCCCCAGCCCACTCAACCCTGAACTCTTCTGCCCACCAATCTGCCCACCCACCGGAGCAAGATTCGGACTCCCCTTCCCTCCGCTGCCCCAACTCAGCCCACTCAGTCTCTTGTTGCTCGTACTGCTCGTCGTACTCGCGCCATCCTGGCTCTTCTTGACATCGTCTTCATCCTCCATGCTGAACAAGCCTTGCTCTTCCTCAATCCTCTCGCGATTGATGCTGCTGCTGCTGCTGACTGCGCGGTCTAGGTTGGCCAACCGCCCACCGGAGCTACCGATGCTGGAGCCGGAGGTGAGGCGGTTGATGCCAGGGTGTTGCGGGTTGGCGGTCGCTGTGCTGTTCAGTCCTACAGCTTCTTCCCGCGAGGACAGGCGTGTGCGCTGGAGTTGCTGGCTGATCATGCTCATCGAAGCTTGACGAGGCGGCGAGGAAACGAAGGGACTCGTGTCGCCGGAGGGAGGGCGATTCATGGCGCGGAGGGACGGCGACGCTCCGGGGTGGAGGCTCGAGTTGCGGAGCGGAGAACCGACGTGGCCGAACGCTGATGCGCCTGGCAAGGAACCGGACTCGAAGTTGTCGTTCACCGGTCGCGATTTGCCCCACAGCGATTGGAATCGGGAGGGCGATCCGGCCGCTACAGATGGCGATCCATAGCGTGTGTCCGAGGCGGTAGGTGAAGCGCCTAGCCTAGACATGGAAGCGTGCTGTGAGAACGAGTGGCTCTCGCTGTCTCCCTGGTCGCGTGAGAAGCGGCGCATCTTCTCCTGCGGCGTGAGGAGATCACTCAGCGAGTGCGGCAGCAGGTCTTCCTCGAACTTGCCAATCATGTCCGCGTCGTCCCACTCCTCGTCCTTGTATGTTGGCCGCGCACCCACGCTCGAAGACATGAGATTTCTCGACCGGTTCGCGGCAAGCTCCGAGTGCAGCATCCTCCTCCCAACCGGCGGCTCAACCGAATCTGGCGGCGAAGAGCCCAGCGCGGCTGCCCTGCTTCTCGAGCCGTCGCCGAATGCGGAGTCGTGCAGATTCCGTAGCGCAGATGAATCAGCGTGGTAGGAGGACGGCGGCGAGCCTGCCAGGAATTTGGCGGGAACCGAGGACGCAATCGGGCCGTAACGCGCCATGTGGGAGATGCCCTGGCTATCAAACGACGCAGGTAGCGGCACGTCCATGACGCTGAGCCCCTTCTGTACCGGCGACAATGCCAACCGTCCGTTCTCGTTCGGCGGAGAACCGTAGTTGGAGCCCGGGTGCGAGGAGAAGGTAGTGTCGATCGTGGGTATCATGTCGTACTGGTTCTTCGGCATAGCGTACGGATCGTCCTGCATCGCGTACTGGTAGCCGGCCTGCATTGGGGCCATGTGAGCCTGCAGAGTGAGCAGCGAGCTGTTCATAGGCGGCTCCTGGTTGTGGATGGTGACGCGGCCGAAGTGGCCTCTGCCCGTGTTGGCGTTGACGACATGGCCGTTGGGGAGGATGTGGGCGAGTGCGCATTTGTGGCCGAACTTGCAGTTGCCCTGGCCAAGCAGTTAGTATACCGCCGCCGCACGATAGGGTGAGCGTCCGACCTTGGTGAAGTACTTGCACGGCGCTCGCTCCGTGGCGGGCTCGTCCGAGTGCAGGAACGGACATGCCTTTCCAGCCTGGCACGCGCCTTGCCGGTAGAACTTGCAGGGGACGTGTGATGTGCCTGTCGCCGTCAGCAGATGGCCCGTGTGACGCACAGCAGGTCGCTCGATGCCCTACTCTTGTTGTTCGGCGGGCTGCGCGCGCCTGCAAAGCCCATCTCGCGCAGGTGAGCGCCGTTGCCGTGCCCGTTCACGCGCCCGCCTGGCACCGCCATAGGCTGCCCGTTGCCGTTCGCGCTCGCCATGCCGCCGGTCAGGGCGGTGCCGCTGTTCGTCGAAGTCTGTCGCAGCGCGCGCGCAGGCCGAGGCGCGTTTTGCGGCGGACTCGAGGCGTATGCAGCGGTCGGGGGGCTCAGCTGGTGGGCAAACGCTCCGTTCTGGACATGCGATGATGGTGGGGGAAGTCCGTAGTGGGGCTGCTCGTCGGCCTCTGCGTTCGGATGGCTGGTGGGCGCAAACGCGGTCGACATGGTCACGTGCCTCCACCGAGCGGAGCAGTGGCTGCAGCGAAGGTCGAGTGAGTCTGCGACGTGCAAACGAAGGACGAGGATACGCAAGTCAGAGCCTCGGAGCCCAGCACCTGGAGTAAGAGCCTTGATATCACCGGCAGCTATGGCGACAGTGGGAAGCGCCTAGGCCGCACTCGGCTTAGCCCGGAAAAGGCGGCGGGTTCGCTTGCAGCGGGAGACTCGGTCGGACGTGGAGCGGAGCAAGCTTGCTTCGACATCAACGCGCCGCTGACGCCGAGAAAAATTATGCTATCGCTATGTCGGACGCGTATTCGCGACCAAGGGTACGGGTGAAGTTCGCAGCACGCTCGCATGAGGTGCCACAGACGGTTGGAGAAGCAGGACAGCCATGCTAAAGGACGATGCGTCGTCTATATTGCATCGAGCTGTGAGTCGCCCGCCTCAGGGTCCTGCACCTGCGCAGGCGCGTCACGCGGGCCGACGCCGTCACGCGGCGGCCGCTGAGGCAGACTTCACCACCTGGATGCTGGCTGGGAAGGCGTCCCTGAGACATTCCTGTGCACAAGGAACGGCCCGCAGCCAACCAGAGAGTCCACGCCTTGGTCTGAAAGTTCCGCGCCATCCACTACAAAGTCATCTGCGCCGCCAATCGTGTATCACCTGCAGGAACACACTGTAACATCATGCTCGGTTTTGTACATTATACTGTCTGTCTAAGTATACTATGCTATCGTGCGTGTCGCCACGCATCCAATGCTCCCCTAATTAAACGCGCTCAACGCGCCGCTCGAAATGCCTCTCACAGGTGACCAACCCTCAGTATACCCGCAGAGCACGTGTTGTTGTACCATTCCAGTTGCAAATCGTCCATCATGTGCACTTGCGGGATGCTCAAATTATACGTATACGCGTTGAACTGAATCCCTGAGAGCGCTCTGAACTGGTCGTTAAAGAAGACCTGTGTGAGCTGGCAATGGACATACGCCCAGCACGCCGGTAATGTGGCATTCTGCTCAGCAACAAGGACCTCTTGCTTCAACACCGTGTCGTATCGATACCCTGAGATACGCAGCGTGCACGGCGTGAGGCCGTTGAGAGCGCAGCCGAAGAAGCCTGAGTATGCGTTGAACCAGTACGCTGTCACTGAAGCACGTGGGCCAGCTCCGATCTCGCCGGGAAGCAGTGTGCCAGCAAACGGCGTGTTGGGCAGGAGCCGTCCGGCAAGTGGTAGGAACATGGCGATGTTGGGCTGCGAGACTGCAGGGTAGGGCTCCCACTTGTCAGGGACGTATGTGAAGCCGTTTGCGTAGAAGAGGTGGTGGTAAGGCGCCTTCATCCCGTTGGCTACCAGCAGATCGCTTTCGTTGGGCCCAACCGTAGTATCATCGAAGGAGAGCGTAAAGTTGCCGGACTCGCCACAGTCCGTAGGTTCGCCTGCAGGTGCCCCATCGGTTTGTGTCGGTATCGCCACTTCGCGAGCAGCGGTGTTGACAACGGTCCTGAAGCTGCTCGGTATTGATGCAAAGAGCTCGAATGAAGGAAGCTCTGACAAGGGAGTCTGGCGAATTGATCTTGTGGTGAGCGGAATCGTCTGCAGGTCGGAGGGCTCTGGGCCAGTAACTGTCGGATAGGTCCCGGTCCAGTACGTCACAGTAGTCACGACAGTCGGCGTGGGAAAGACAAAGACGACCGATGTGTCCCCGTATGAAACAATCCTTGTCATCAGAGCGCGAGCTTGCAGGGCTGACGTTCCATTGGAACCAAGTGGTGGAGCCGATGTGACCACTACAGGCGCGTTGGTCACTGTTACAGTCGATGTCAAAGTACTGAAAGATGTTGAGAGTGGGGTTGTGCTGGAGCTGTTTGCAGCAACAACGCCAGGTGTGCCCGTCGTAGCACTTGATTCAGCAGAAGTAATGGGAGACGCCAAAGTGCTGGCAGGTAAACTCAGACTAGGGGAAGAGGAAGAGCTCAGCAGGCTACTCGATATCGTACCTGATGTGGTACTCGATGTGGCGTTGATGAAGATTGACAAGGAACCCACAGGTGCCGTGAGACTGCTACCCGTGACGGGAGACGACAGCGAGCGTGAACTCAGAGGGCCTACAGTTGCGGAGCTCAACATGCTTGACAAAGAGCTCACACTGCTCGAGGTCGTATTTGTCAAGACCGCAGATGATGCACCAACGGGCGTGGCGCTGCTGCTCGATGAAGCGTTGGATGGAACGGTAGAAGGACTGGGGGATGGCGTGACGCTGGCGGCAGCACTTGTCGGGCTCGACTGCGATGAAGTTGCTGTGCCCAGGATACTGCTCGAGCTTGTAGAAGTGTTGAAGCTAGGGCCCATGAGAGTGGTTGTGGTCGATAGACTGGCTGCTGGTGGAATGCTAGCCAACACACTCGTCGAAGGACTTGATGTAGAATTGGGATCAAACGAGGTGAGTATTGATAGAGTGCCGACTGTTGAGCTCGAGTTCCCCGTTGGTGCGATAGAGCCGGAAGTTGGGGCCGACGGGTTCAGATTCGACGTTGTTGGAGACGGTACCGACGAACTCGTGAGACTTCCTGACAACACCCCGCTGGACGTTACTGGAGTTGAGCTTGTGGTAAATGAAATGTCGGGAGAAGACGATGCCGATGAGATATCTAACAGAGATGATGAAGATGTGGCCTCAGTTCTAGATGTTCCTGGTGAGATGCTTGGCGAAGTAGGTGATGGTATTGGGACGACGATTGAAGATGAAGGGACCGCCTCGGATAGTGTCGAACTTGCTGTCGATAGTGATGCCGAAGCAGGTAGTGTGCTATCGAAGGCCATCGACGTTGGAGGAGGAGCAGACGCCGAAGAGCTGCTGGAAGCAGGAGTAACAGGAGACGTAGTCGCTGTGATAGTTATCGTCTGGCCAGAGCTTGTTTGTGTGATTGTTGACGTGAAGGCACCCGGTGCACTGCTACTGGTGGGCTGCGATAGCGATACGGTGAAGCCTCCGCTTGATGGTGTGACTGCTGAGCTCGCTGGTGTTGATGAACCTCCACTTGAATCAGATGATTGCAATGGAGGGATCGCAAACGACGTAGCGCCGCTAATGATGGTAGTCGCAGAACTGATAGATGTCGTGATCTGCCCTCCGAGTAGAGTAGATGTGAGCGTGACCGGAGATACCGTGGTCGCACTCAATGCAGTGGACGCTGGAGGCGTTGCACTGAGCACAGTTGTCGAAATCAATGTCACTGCTGTCGTCTGCCCACCAGGCAGAGTGCTCGTCACTGTAACGAGCAAGCCTGAGGTTATGGGCGACATCAGGCTGGTTGAGGGAGCCGGAGGTACAGCATTAGGAGGAGTAGCTGAAATGCTGATTACAGTCGTACGTCCATCAGACAGAGTGGTTATAGGTGCGGTAGAGCTCGATGCTGGAGGCAGGTTCGAGCCAGGCGATGAACTCAGTGGAGGCCCAGCGATCAGAGTTGTGGATGTGCTGGACAGGATCGTCGTCTGTCCGCTAGGTGTGATGCTGGTAATAACGAGGATAGTGCTCGACACTGTAGCTGAACTGCTGGTTATCGACTCGTCTGACAATGATGGCGCAACCGTAACGGAAGTACTGGTCGTTGAACCAGGTGACCCTAATGATACGCCCGGCGTTTGTGTGGCGGCCGAAGGCAGAGAGACCCCTGCTGTACTTGAGATTATACCCGGGGTGGAGGGCGTTAAGTTCAAAGTCGATTGAGTCGACGAAGCAACAGGGGGCGGATATGAACTTGAAGGCTGCGCGATGGGAATGTTTGAAGTTGAAGAAGAAGCGAATGGGGCTGTGGGCGGGCTCGGAGGGGTGGGCGGTAGAGGTACTGATGAAGGTACTAAAGTGACAGTAGATATCGTGATCACATTGCCGGAAGTGATGGTCGTGGTAAGCGTGGTACCAACGCCAGGTGGTAGCGACATTGACAGTGCTGGTACTGACGTGTTAGGGGGCAGCTGTATGCTCGATCCGAATGAAGGCGCCGACGACAAGCCAGGTGTCAAAACGGGGGAGAGAGAGACTGGGAGGTTGGAGCGACTCGGTGGAGCAATGCTGTTCAGCCAATCAGTGGTCCCATTGATGACCGAATAGTAGTAAGTACCTCGAGCTGGATCTGACGGCGCAGCGGCGATGAGGGAAACAGTGATAATGGGACCAGGGATTGTGACATATACAACGCTGCAATTGGCGGCATCAACGATGTCCTGCGCCCGAACACCCTTGATCAAGCCGAAAAGGATGAAGTCCAGGGTGGTGTAAGCGACATAGAGGCATACGAAAAGCACACCGAAAGTCAGGATAAAGTCTGCCCTGCGAGGTCCTTGGAAACCTCGAATGGTTGCAAGAATGAACCTCCGCGTCCAACGATACATGCGACATGGCCACCAAGAAGAGGGGTTGGACTTCCTTCGCCAGGCAGCTTGATCAGAAACTCGCTTTGTAGTGATCTGTGAAGTCTTCTCAAGCTTTGCCTCTTCCCAGTTGCTTGAGACTACCGAGTCTCGCTTCTCAGCTGGATCGGCCAGTTGCTTTGGCATGATACTGTCGTGCAAACCCCTGATTAGAGGAAATGAGTCTGTACTGCCGTCTCCGAGATAAGAAGACGTGGTTCGCGATGCGCTCGACTCTTGTTGCGAACAGTCACCATCGTCAAGTATCGGTGAGTCCGCGTCATCGGTGGGAGTTGATGGATCGCTCTCAGTAGTTTGGGTATCTTGTTTCTTAAGCCTCTTTCTGGCCTTCTTCGACAGTGGAGCGGGATTACCGGAAATGGAGACCGCATCGATGGAGTCCATGGGCAGACTGTCACTTGAGTCTTGGCCAGTGAACCAGCTGCCTATGTTGTCGATGAATGATGTCTGGAGTGTGGTGTTGACGTTTATCGTCGGGGGAGTTGTGGGCTGAGCAGCGTCGACAGATTCTGACGAAGCGTTGCGACTGGCGATGATTTTTCGTAAACGATCCTTTACTGGCGTCTCTGGTTTGGGTGGAGCTTTACGGTAGCGACGTCCCCCTTTTCCTCGAGCCATAGTAGCAGTGACGAATAAACTGCAAATATGATGCGGTACCGAGAATGTGTGTAGTAGACTGTTATGCAGTGAACGTATGTTGTCTTTGATAACGTGGTAGTAAAGCGTGCGAGGTATTGTGTAAGAAAGTCGCAGTACATTTGAAGGGCATGTTTACAGAGGCGGCGATCTTACCTTCCATGTTTGCGACTGTGCGGGCAGCAGGCGGGATAACGAAAGCGAGGGAAGAGCAGCCGTAGTATTGGGAGTTTGCAGGAAAGTAAAAGTGAAGTGCGGTGGGCGTTGACCGCTTCATCGGGCTGTTGCAGCTCAGATCTGCAGGCAAGCGCAGGACTGCACTTGCTTTGCGCATCGAAAAAGACATTAATCGAAGTGGACTCCCCACAGGAACATCATGATTGGATAAGTGCGGAAGCGGTGCGATGGCGTTTGTGTCAAACGCTGTGATACATTGTTGCAGGTCGAACTTCGATGTCGCAAATTGCGGGCTCATCGTACTTCTTCCCCTAAGCTCTTACTTCCCATAACCTGATGTGACCCGACTCGTTCGCAACGGCCACCTGCGCCAGGCTACCCTCACGCTCTTCCTCTTCCGTAGGTCTGCCCCAAGCCACGGCAGTAATCCTGCCCAACGGTGTCTTCTCTGTAGGCCAGTTTTTGAACACCGTTGCTGAAGGCAGATGTACCAACCTCATGGCGTTGTTCTTCCATCGACTCGCCATAGCTAAAATCTGCCCATCCGGTGAGAATGCAAGTTGTGATGTGGGTGTGGTGAGGTTGCCAAGGGCGCGCAACGGTTTCGGTGCCTTGGGGATACCGCCATTTGCGCCCAACTTTTCGTCTTCCGCGCCTTCGCTCCAAGCCCTGCGATCGTAAATGTTGACAACACCACTCGAGCTTCCGATTGCGACCCATCGATCGCCGCCTATCCAGTCGTCTCGTCCACTGTTACCACCGAGAGCGATGACTGTTGTGCCAACAGCGCCCTCATCGTTCCATCGCCCAACAACGCCCTCTTGTACGCTCCATTCCGTAACCTCGCCGTTCTTGCCTGCGATGCTCATACCATTGCCATTGCTCCACCATGCAAAGTCAGCGACACCGCCCCGCGACTCGATGCGCACTTGTGTTGCCCATTGCAATGTTCTGGTATCAAGGATATTGATGACACCTCCGCCCTTCCTTGATGAGCCACGAAGTGCCATGTATTTCCCATTCGGTGAAAGTGAGAAGTGCTCCATTGTGCGCTGTTCGTGTTGGTGGCCATACACCCGTGTGACCTTCTCAACCTGCCCTGTTGCGATGTTCCAGACATGAAAATAGCGTCGGCGAGCGCTCAGGAAGATGCGTGAATCTGAGGCTAAGGGATGGAAAGCGGTTGTGGTGAGTGGTGTGCGCTTGATGTGTAGCGATGTGAGAAGAGGGTTGGGGTTCGGTGGGTTTGGGTTAACATGATGAAGTGAGAGCGTTGAGCTCGGTCCAGACGAAAGAAGCAGAGGGTATGTTGGGTGGAATGAGAGGGAGGTGATTGCAGACTAGGGTTCTTTGTTAGCGTCATGATCGCATGCTTCATGCAACAAGGACTTACTGGACCAGCTTTGGAGACGTCCTTCAGCCGCTGAATGTCGATTGTACCGGCCTGTAGTTTTCTCCTCTTCGCGGGTCCCCTTGCTGTATTCCGGGACAGAATGTCTGCATCCTTCAGTAGCCTGGCCAAAGGCTGGGTAGACAGGTCATCATCGTCAACGTCCATATCACTTCCAGACTCTTCTCCACTCTCATCATCGTCCATTGTCCGTCTCCTCTTCTTCGCCTTGCCCGTCGCGTGTGCTGCCCACTCCGGCGCCGGGTAGAGTCGCTCATACTGCTTCCTCAGCCTGCGCGCATACTCCTTGCCATTCACCATGTCGTCCTCTGCCGTTTCCCTCAGCTTTCTCAATTGCGGTACTGAAGCCAAGCTGACCACCAGGCGCTCATCGTCGCTGTCGTCCCATGCTGGCTGGTCCTCTTCGTCCTCTGATGCGTCTGCTTTCGTGACAGCGACCGAGCCAGCAGGCGCCGCTTCTGGGCCAGTGTCAAAGAAGAAGAGGTTGGCGTCCGCAACGTTTTCGAGGTCTTCATCATCGTCTTGCTCTTCGTCCGAAGCATCGCCGTACATCCCAGCTGTGCGACTGAGGGAGAAATTGTCCAGTCCCTCCTTGAAACCTGCCGAATCGCCGAAGATCAGACGTTCGAGCTCCTCTTCCTCCGCATCTTTCGGCAAAATGGCCTTCTCCTTCTCTTTTTTCTCGATATTGATCTTCGCGCTTTCCGCGTCACTATCCTCCTCCTCCTCTTCTCCGTCCTTGTCGCCATCTTCGCTGCCAGAACCCTCAAAATCGCTGTCATTCGACTTGTTCACTGTCTGCAGCGCCTTGCCTTCTCCATCGCTGCCGTTCAAGTCAATTGTGAAGCTTGCGTTTTCGGTCACATCGTCTGCAAGATAGCGTTTGTGGTTGTTCGACTTGTGCGGCATAGTCTTCGTCTTTGAGGGAGCCATGGCGGCGATTGCGAGTGTGTAGAGCTTCAAGCGCGCGTTCGCAAGAACTTCGCGGTACAAAAATTATTGCAGGGATATTTTGCCGAAGATCCGCCAGCGGAGTGCCATCCACCTCCGCTGCGGGCACCTCGAGTCGCGACCTTTGGAGGACATCACGAATGCTCTCAGGTTGTACTCTCTGGTCATACAAGCTGCCACCTCCTTCATGCAGATCTCCCATGCATGATCATGGCTCGAAGTCGTCCCTCCACGTGACCGCGCGCATGTGTCTGGCGTCTATCCCCGCCGCTCCTTCAAAGCCGCCGCTAGAACCGCGCAATGCCGCGCCTGCAACGCTCTGCAAACGCCATAATCGCTAGGCCGGCATCACATGACAAGTCTACTCTCACAAAGACATCATCTCAAGCCCAAAGACACTGGCAGATGACCGTCGTGTCAAGAACTCGGATTCGATTGGTCCGCTGTTCTGAGTCCGAACGAGAGTTCCGAGCACGTTAGGTGTGGGGAGGTAGTTGACTGGAATTGAATAAGACTGTGACTCCTGCCTGAATCATCACTGGCTTCGTAGAACCTGCTCTCTCACTCTCCTATCCCTGTTTTCTTCCCCTTCCATTTCTGTGGTGACACCTAGACCTACCCAAAACCTATACACATCTCCATGGCTATCTCCAAAACATCCCCCTCGCCCAAGATGGTCAACCCAGGCAACCCCGACCTCCAAGTCTCCCTCCTCAAACCGGAAGAAGCAGAACAGTACATGCACATCCGACACGAAGTCTTCCGGCCATCAGTCAACAACATCCTTTACTCGCGCGGCGAGCCCTCACAAGAAACCCTCGCCCGCGTAACCGAGGAGATCCGCGACGGAGTCGTAAACAAAGGCATCTTGTATCTGAAGTGCGTCGACACAACGACTGGGGAGATTATCGCGGGCGCAAGATGGCGGTGCGTTATGCCAAAGGAGGAGGGCGCGAGTGAGCGGACGTGGGAAGAGGTGGATGAGGGGTTTGAGAGGAGCGAGCCGTATGATGAGAGTGATCCGAAGTTGTTTCACGCTTTACACGATCTCTTCAGCGAAAACAAGAGGGCGATTCTGGGAACTCGGTCACACTACGTTCTCGATACTTTGGTCACGCTGGCCAACCACGAGAGGAGAGGTGCTGGCAGTATGCTCGTGCGCTGGGGCACCGAAAGAGCGGACGAGGCCGGCGTTGAAGCATATCTTGAGGCGAGTCCGATGGGGGCGCCGATGTATGCGAGACATGGTTTCGAGCCGGTCAAGAAGGTGGCGTTGGATTTGAGGAAGTATGAGGGGAAGGAGATTATGGAATTCATCGTGAGTGTCAGCTTGGTTGTGCGAAGAACTCGACTAACGTTGGTGTAGCTTATGAAAAGACCGGCCAAAGTGGGAACACCCTAATATGTTAGACGTCTACCGCGCAATGCGATAGATCTGCCTCTCGGGACTTGAACTGCCTGAGTGCCACCTCTGCACAGTTCCACCGTCTCAAACTTACGAGCGATTGGGTGCTACATACCACGAAACCGTCGCGGTTATACGCATGCATAGTTGTAGTTGCCATCTCCAATAAACGCTGCTGTACAGTGGGGACCGATTTGTCGGTGCACGGAGGTTGTCGGTACATCGCCGGACACTATTTAAGAACTTTACATCCGATACTTGTCGAAAGACCAAGTAGCGGCTGAGTTCTCTACCGATACATCTAGGTATATGTAGTTCCAGATCCAAAACAACTCCATTGCATCTTCATACCAAACTCGTCTTCATTCTACACTTCAACATGGCAAAATCCATCCTCCTTATCAACGGCCCAAACCTCAATCTCCTCGGAACCCGCGAGCCATCAATATACGGACAATCCACACTTTCTGACGTCCTAGAAGCCGCCCAATCACATTGCGAACGCGCGTGCATCACATTTGCACGCATCCAACCAAACCACGAGGGCATCCTGATCGACCGTATTCGCGAGGCGCAGGGCAATGTCGACGCTATTGTTATCAATCCTGGGGCATTTACACACAGCAGCGTTGCTCTGAGGGATGCATTAGTTGGTGTAGATAACCCTTTTGTGGAAGTTCATATTAGCAATGTGTATAAATGCGAGGTTTTTAGGCATCACAGCTACTTAAGCGATAAGGCGGAAGCGGTGATTTGTGGATTGGGGACGTATGAGTATGAGGCTGCGATTCAGTATTTTGCCCGGCATCTTAAGCCCAGGGAGAAGGTGTAGGCAGATGTTTCGATTCTTTTGAACAAGGCACTCGACGTTGTCCCAGCTACCGCACGTAAGGATAGTAACTGTAATCGAGTAAGGAAACGCCTGCCACTAGGACCGGATCCTTCTTGCAACATTTCGTGATGGCGCGATAGCTGAAAGCGAAAGTAGCTGGCCTAGAGCTTGGAAATATTAGAAGATGAGCACGATACAATTTAAATTAATCCTGCGCACGAAACATGCAGAATAAAGACATAGGTTAAATTGAATTAGAGGCGCATTTATCCAGTGGTAAAGGTAGCCATCGTACCCTACCAGCGGCCCATTGTCGCAACACACTAGGCTTTTTAGACATGAATCTTTCCTTATGTCTGATGCAGAAGTCAGCAGGTTACGACATAAGCGGGCTTCGGAAGCTTTAGAGAACTTGAACTTCCCTGACAACGTAGTGGTGGATGGGTTACTTGTTCTTTAAGTGTGGTCGATGCAGTACGGTAAACGACAACGTGGGACTATCGGACTGATGGAATACTGCGCTGAATTGTTATCTAGCTAGGAGAAGACGACTATATACCTGACCTGAAATATGCTAGTTGATGTGTGCAACCTTAGGCCTACCGACCAATTGATATGGTAACGTAGTGGAAAGCAGAATGCCATGCTGCTCCGCTAAACCTTCGAAGTTAGCGATAGACTTAAAATCGATAATGAGTAGCTCTTTGAAACCGACGACAGCATCTGTCTTCTCGTACGGATTACCACGCAGGTAAAGTACAGTGATCAGTCGGTCGTAGCTTAGCTTTTCGAACATAAAATAGAAGTGGCTACGCCGATACGGGCGACGTTTCAACTTCTGGAGTAGTTTTCGAACTGGCCCGCCATGAGGGATGGGATACGGGACTGGGACAACAGCCTTGAAGTAGAATTCGCCGCGCTCATTCCTTTCCATGATCGCTCGTCCGTTGGGATCTTTTCGATTTTAGTATTGGACGTCATAAAAGCCTTTGGAGTCTGTCTCCCACACATCTACTCTGACACCGGCGATCGGCTGGCCATGCGTATCACTGACCGTGCCAATGACCAACATAAACTCGCCACTCTCATCTTGTATTATACTGGCGCTATTGTGCTTGTGGGGGCCCCTGAATGTGGAAAGAGGCCCAGGACGGTTCCTTTGGTTGGAATGGGTGTTTTGGTTTGACCGATTGAGTCGACCAAAAGCGATGAACCTAGGCTATCGGACAGAAGGATAAACTCTTGTTGGATATCACTGCTAATTTGCCCGACTTCAGTAAGAAACTTGATCGTGGCTTCCCATTCCGGTGTGCTGAGCTGCGTCTCGCGTGCGAAGTTGTGGATGTGTGTTACGAGCCGTTCTTAAAGGAATTCAGACAGCCGTCGGGGCAGTTACAATTGAAAAGCACTCTTGGTGATGTTTTCGATAAGTAGCATTGTCGAACCTTTTCGCTGACCGCGACTCCGAAAAGAAATCTTGTGGAAGCAAGGCCGACGTGACACTATCTTGTGTGGCCAATCACTATGCCACAGTATGCGCGACTCTCGATTCTCTTATGGCCCTTGCATGAAAACCCGAGACTGTAGGCCCGGTTGTTACTATGCCGTACAAGAGCGCAATCATGCCGTATCTGAGCGCCTTGAACGATTTAGCCATGCAGATCGGTGCGCGCAACGTGTACCGCGACCCATCCGACCCTACCCGCCTCCGTGGCACGAACACCGATTGGCTACGCATTCGAGGCAGTCTGCTCGAGAAGAGCTCAGAAAATCAGCTGGTCGTCAATCAGCCTGCGTTGATTGTGGGTGCAGGTGGAACGAGCCGCGCCGCTGTGTGCGCGTTGCACTCGCACTTCAAAGCCTCCGTTATCTACATTCTGAACCGCGATGAGAAGGAAGTCGAAGATTTGATAGCCGATATGGAGCGGCTTTCGATTCCACTGAATCTCGTCCACGTCAAGCCTGCCGGGGCTGGATGTTTCAAATACCGTACTATACCGTTGTAACCGGAGTTTGGTCACAGCGCGAGTATCAGACGGAACGATGTCTGTGGTACATCCGTGGCAGCGATGCATATTGAATGCTTTTTTGTCCTTGCCTGCTTTCGATGTAGCAATGAAGTCAGTGCAGGCCATACGGCCGGGCCATGTGGTGTAGACGTGTGCATCTGGATAGAAGATGGACTCGAAATTCTACCATTCCCACGCTTCCTAGAAGCCGTGCCAGCTGAAGGTTTCTGTCAAAGGGGGAGTGGGGGGGGAGTGAGCAGAATCATGATGTATTGAGGTGGCTGCTATCTGGTTTATATACTGTGGGCACTAAGACCTAATCTGGAATGGTGCACAAGAGCTGGAGTGAAGGCGCCTGGCTGACAGTTTCGCAAACAACATGGACGTCTGGTATCAAGAATGACTGTGATGCACCGGTAACATGGCTAGCCCTCCAGCTAGTTCGCGAAACTTAAGGAGCTCTACAGCTAGGTGATTTAACCCGTTGTTGCGAATAGCGGACTCTGGTCGTGAGCCAGCAGGCAGGCTATGAAGGTCGATAGCCACAGGCATGCTATGAAGGTCGATAGCCACAGGCATGCTATGAAGACCGATTGCCATTTAGCGTGTGATTATGAAAAATAGTTATTCTCGAGGTCAGGATAATCCGTAGAAATATAAGTCATCACAGTGAATATTCGGTTGTATTCAACCGTCCACGAAATAGCATTTGGCATTACATTCCAAGGGAGTGGTTGGAAACTAGACGAAGGGCGGCAAAGATCTTTGCCGATAAGTATCATCTGTGCGCGCGAAGTGGAGGCCGACCAGAGTGTCAAGCTCTTGACCTGTGATTCACGGATCAACTCCATAATGTTTTGAAAAGCTTCCTTGTTGTACACTCGTAATTACGTACGCAGGAGCAAGTGACGGCTTTACATCTGCGAAGGTTCCAGCCAAAGTCAAGGTGGGCACTCCATGATATACGCACAAAATGAAGAAATGCAGTCCGGTCAAAAAGCAGTAGCAACACGCTTCAGATCGTACAAAGAAGTTCTTTGAGAATTTGGCGAGTACTTGAAACACGTCGCAGCATGAGACGCTCCCAGAGTTGTAGTCGTTGGTGTTGGTCTTCTGGCCGTTTACACCAGGGAGATGGAGAACTTCTATGAGATCGTATGCATTAGGTAACCACCCAAGCTATTGTCTTTAATTTACACATTTATTTACTGCCGAATCCGGTGAAAGGTCGTGTTGTACCGAGGCAGGATGGAACACTGAGGATAATCTCGAACGTCGTTTTTTAGACTAAATTAACAATGCTGCACGAAAGTGGTCCACGATTGTGAGGATCTGATGTATCCCCAAAGGGTTCTTGAGTCATTAATTACTCTGAAACATGAAAAGATGCATTCCCCAACATCTTGCTCATGACATATTCACGATCTTAGAAAGTTCCAACAATCCTCTTAACCGTCCTCCTCGGCCCCTCCCCACTAACCTGTACACTCCCCTCCGCCTCCGCACTCCTCAGCACCTCCAAGAACTCCTGACTCTCGACCTGCTCACTCGCACCCTCTCTAACATGCTTAACCAAATCGCTCATCCTGACACTCTGCCCAGCGCCAGCAAGCTCATCCAACCCCGCCAAAACAGCGCGCTTGAGATCCTCCTTGCGCCTGCGGTCGCCAGTCGATGTACCCTCGGTGAGCAGCGACATGTCGATGAGACCTGTGCGTGCGTCGGTGGCGGCTTGTTTGAGCGCGGATTTAATGAGGCGGACGGCTTCGTTGACATCGTCTGCTGTGACTTCCTCAGACAAGCGCATCTTGGCGTGCGCTTCGGCGAGACGGATCATAGACTCCAGTTGTCGCGTTGTGGCAGTGATGCGGCGCTCCTGTGACCTGATGTCGGCGCCGAGAGCGCGCATAGCGACGTATGCGTCTACGAGAGCCTTTTGTGCGGGCTCGGTGATCTTGGGGTGGATGTTGGTGCGCGCGTAGGAGATGTATGCTGTGAGAAACTCGACAGGGAGGACTTCGGTCTTTGATGCGCTTTCAGGGGTGTCTTCGAGGTACATGCCCACAAGATGGCGGGCAAGACGGCGATCGGCTTGCTCGTCGATGCGGTCAAGAACCAGGTAGACGAGGTCGAAACGTGACAGGAGTGTGGGAGGAAGGTCGATATTCTGCGGTACAGGGAGGTTGACATTGTATTTCGATCCGATAGGGTTGGCGGAGGCGAGAATGGAGCTACGGGCGTTGAGGGTAGTGATGATGCCTGCTTTGGCGATGGAGACGGTCTGTTGTTCCATTACCTCGTGGAGGACGGAACGAGTAGATTCAGACATCTTGTCGAACTCGTCGATGCAGCATACACCACCATCTGACAGGACCAAAGCTCCGGATTCGAGGACCAGCTGGCGAGTCTCGGGATCACGAGTGACGTACGCTGTCAGACCCACAGCGGAAGAACCCTTTCCAGAAGTGTACACACCGCGCGGTGCAATCCTGTGCACATACTGTAGAATCTGGGATTTGGATGTCGATGGATCACCGCAGAGCAGGACGTTGATGTCTCCTCGGTATTTCGGACTTCCACCCTTCTCGAACTGCTTGTTGGTACCACCAAAGAGCTGGAGTAAGATACCCTTCTTGACATCTTCCATCTCGTAGATACTGGGTGCCAGTGAGTGTGAAAGAAGTTCGTAGACATCAGGGCGCGCAGCGGTCGCCTTGATTCTCTCTTCCTCTTCCTCTGAAACCTTGCGAGTCTCTTCGATGTCACCGGCGGCATGCTCAGCAAGCTCCTCCTCGATGGTCGATACGTCGATACCCATGCGCTTTTTGTCGACCTTCTGGATGTGCAATGCATCGACGTATGTCTTGAAGATGTTCTTGACTGATCGCTGGCGTGGGTTGATGCGGACTTGATTGCACTTGAAAATACCTGTGATCTCGACTCGGTCACCGGCTTTGCACACATCGACAAGCTCGTCGTACGCGCAGAGTGAGACCGAGTGAGGTGTCTGACCGTCAGGCACGTTATCCGGCGTTTCTTGCAGCTTGATGACCTGCTTGTTGGCGAAGCCGGATCGGTTGTGAACGATCTGCATTGAGTTTGGCGACTCGCATACAGCACGCGGGCACTTAGTGGGCTCGGTGATCTTGCCACGGTCAATGTCGACCCTGACAGAGTGATTGCAAACTGCACAGCGGAAGAAAGCTAAGATTGTCAGCACAGTTCATCCAATCTTCCAGCGTATACTTACCATCTTTCATGTCTGGGATGATAGGAGTAGTCCTGATGACCAGTCCCTTCACACTGACGAGCTTGTCCATGTCACCAGGGTTCAGCTCACGCAAGTTGATGGTGTTGTCCAAACCGAATGGCCTGACATTGTAGGTCTTTTGGTCGACTTCACCGACCAGGTTTGGAATGTCTGCGAATGGAGTAGGGGAGGGTGCTCCAGGGGTAGGCGCATCCGAGCTCAGCATAGGCGGCAGAGAGCTAGAGTCACGAGCCCTGGGTTGCGCACTGCGCTGTTGTTGCGAGAGCTGAACCCTCATCTCTGCCATGCGCTTCTCTGCAAGCTCAAGCATAACGTCCTTGATCGCCACATCCATGATGGGTATGATCTCGTTGGGGTACGCTTGCAATTGGTGCCATAGCTTCCTCGTTGGTGGATATGACTTCAGGTTGCGAGCGTCCAGGTTAAGAGGTGTGATACCAAGCTCAAGCATCATCTTCATCATGTCGACGTACTCTCGAGCCATAGCTGGGTGTTCTGCAGGTAAGCTCATGCCCTCTTCCAGCTCACCTTCCTGGATCAAGCGGTACTTCCTCTGGAAGTTCATCAGGAAATCCTTCATAGCATGCCTGGCATCCACAAGGGAGACGTTGGTTCCCCAAATAATCCGCGAAGTATTGCCTCCCAGCGCATCTGCATCTGAAGTATCCGGATTCATGTTCGAGAAGGTGGCTGCATCTGAAGCGTCGCCAACAGGCATGCCGTGCTCGTCAACGAACATCCTGCGGCGCTGGCCACCTGCTGAGCTCGCACCAAAGACATCGGAATGAATGTCGCTTCTTCGGTGACGAGCTGCTGATTCGGAGCCACGGACGAAAAGGGCACTGCTGCTGCTTCGGAGGTCGGTGTTTTGTGCATTGCGGGCACGGCCAGGGCTGGAGCTAGACGCATAGTGGATGGGAGACGAGTCTTCAGATATCAATATCGAATCTGGTACTAGAAAGAGTCTGTCATACCTCCAATGTTCATGGCACTAGCCCTTGGTGTTGCGCCGCCCTCGCTCTCAGCCGCGCCATTTGCATCTCCAGCGGAACCGTTTCCTGGCGACGAGCGGAAAAACAGCGGGGACTGCGATTGTGTCGAGCCAGCCTGCAGTCTCGATCCACTTGGAGTCGCCAGCAGTCCGCGCGACGAAGCCTGCGACGCCTCGGACTGGAGTTGATCCTCAGCGCCCATTGGCGCAGGGCTGGAAGGGATTGCAGAATTTCGTGTTGCTCGTCTCGGTGTAGCAGAGGCAGAAGAGCGCTGCGTGCGCCGCTTGGTGGGCGAAGACATGATCGTGTTGCAGTGCTCACAGGAGAGCGAGCGCGACGTTTGTACAGTGGGAAGCAGAGGAGGGGTGTGAGGGTGGGCTACTGCGGACGCGTTGTTCACGCGTGGAAAGGGGACGTGAGCGCGTAAAGTGGTTGATGTCTAACTGCATGTGGAGTAGTTTCTGCCTTTATCGATAGCCCCGCGATGAATTTCGTCGGCCAGGGCAACAGCCATACGGCGTCAAGGCAGCAGCTCATATATATCAAAAGCACTCACATAGTTCGAGCCAAAAACCGCTACTACCTTCTACATCTTGCAGTCAAACAACCAACATGGCGCCACCCTCAAAGCTCGCGGTTGCAACCGGCTCTGTCACGCGATTGGTCAAGGAGGAAACTAGCTACCACAAGGAGCTCGTGCAGCAGGAGGAGCGCATCAAGAAGCTCGAGGCCAGCGAAGGCGATGAGAACAAGGAGTATACGCTAAGGCAGGAGGTGAGCTTCAGTGTCTTCTTGAACACATCTATCGTCTGACACCAGCGCAGAAGCAAGCATTACAAGAGACGCAGAATGTCTTCCCTACTGTTCGAACGAGGATCGAGCAGGCAGTTGAGAGGCTCGAGGGCGAGCTCGTGAGTCCTGTTCCTATGGTAAGGTGAGTGATCTGCTGACAGAATGTAGGAGAACAGTAAGGACGCCGATGGTAATGCAGAGGAGATCAAGAAGGCAGAAGACGCAATTGCAGCAGGAAAGAAGGTCATTGCTGAGGCATCATGAGGTCCACTGGGACAGGGTATGAAGTATGATTGATGAACAGATGAACCAAATGGCTGCCAGCCTAAACACCGCGCTATGCAACAAGAATGACATGGACGTGAATGCGTAACGGTCAATCACGACTCGTCCATCTTGTCTGGCGAGGCCTCACCGTCGTCCTCCCCCTCTTCTAGATCTTCTCCTTCATCTATGCCGTCCGAGTCCTCGGCCTGCACATCTCCTGGCGGTGCGCTGGAGTCTGCCATCGGTGTGTCCTCGTGTCCAGAAGATCTAGCAGGTGATGGCGCAACACTGGCCTCTCTCGACAGAGGCTTCAGTCTGTCCTGTGGGGGCACTTTGAGCGACTGCGAGCCCTCTCCGCCCTGGCTGACGTGGATGGGTGTCATTCCGCCGTCTGGCCTTGGAGTGCCGACATGGCTAGCATCTCCCCTAGATGTGCTGCCCTCACCTTCTCCGTCCTCATCACCGTCCTTCATCATGCCCTCCTTGCGCTCAGCCTCCTCCTTCTCGTCCTTGATCATACGCAGCATTTCCCTGGCCTCCTCTTCAATGCGACCAAATTGTATGCGCCGCTCTTCCCACGTGGTCTTTGCAGACTGCACTTCGCGCTCGAGCTCCGCGATCTCGTCGTCTAGCTTTTCGTGTGCTAGTGCTTGCTCGTCCCGCGGCTTCAGCATCTTGCTGCTTGTAATCTTCTCTGTCAACTCATCATAGGTCTTGCGCACGGCTAATGTCTCTTTTGCGTCGACCAAGTTCACCCGCAGCTCTTCGATGGTGTCTCTGACGTGCTGCTGTTTCGCGGTGATGCCGTCCTTCTCCACTGCGTATCGTTCGCGCTCGGTGTGGTTGCTGTTCGTCGTAAACTCGAATCGGAGAATCGCATAATCCAGCATTGAAAGCTCGTTCATGATGTTCTCTCGCCAGATCTCGACCTTGTGTGCTTGTTGTTCGCGCTCCACTACTTTGGCCGCAGCCTCCTCTTCGGCAGCGGAGGCATCTGGAGGTGGTGAAGGTAACTGCTTCGGTCGCGCATAGTGGAAGAAGTTCTCTTTGAGTAGGCGACCGGCGACCTGCTGGTATGGTCGAGCCTCGACGGCTAGTAGTCGAGATACATTGTGTAGCGCATCTGCCAGGGTCAGAGAGGTGCGTTGCAAAGGACCGATTAGGCTTCAAGCCTACCTTCATCTGCTTGCGGCAACAGCGACCAGTCTATGGCTACCATGTTTTAGTCGAGTATGCGTGTGGACGACTTTGGTATCTGTGGGTTGGTGGTGTACTCGTTCGGGCGCATCAATGAACTTCGGACCGCGAAGTATTGGGGGAGGCGCTAGACAAGGGTGCCGCTGCTTACCCGCGGATCCAACGTCACCCTGCTCGTTCACTCTTTGACACATGTTTGCTCTGTCTTCGATTCACTCCTTCACATAATTCACCATTGGAGACTAGTCTGCATCAATCCAAGTTCCCAGTATGTCGAATGCAGCCTGAAAGTATCCGAGGTCTTTTGAGCCTGCCCCGGAATACCTACGTACTGCCGCCTCTTGATTCGACACCCTTGAAGCTCCCCATATAACGACCCTTGGTTCCTCGCAAACAGCTTACACAAAACCACGTCGCATGTTCAATACTCGTTCGTATCGCATCTTCTGCCTTGGGTCACAAGCTCGACTGCAGAATACAATTTGCACTCGTAATCACCCGTCTGCCTGTTCCATCTCGATCCTCGAAACCCACACTCCATCCTCACGATGCCGGTTTCAAGTCTTTACGAGCTTGCCAGGCAGCGCCTTATCAAGAACATCGACATGCTCACCGACATTGGAGACATACCGTTTTCATTTCTCGAGCCCGTCCTTCGTCATATCCAGAACCCAACACAGCTGCAGGAACTTGAGGAAAATTGCCCACAGATACAAGGCGAGACAAAGGAGATATGGAAAAGATATATCAGGAGAGACGTTCCAGACTGGGAGAAGAAGCCACATACACCGCGCGATGACAAGAACTGGAGCAAGGTGTACAGGAAGCTCATGAGAGATGCGGAGAAGGAGAAGCTCGATCAAGAGAATCAGTTGAAGGAACAGATGAAAGCTCTTCAGGCGGGTAGGGAAGGCAACAAGACCGTCATTATGACCACGAATAAGAGTTACGGTCGCTCCGGCGCCCACTGGTCAATGGGTAGTGGAGGGAGCTTCGGGCGGGCTGCGCCGCCTACTAAGACCGGGAAGGTCGCCATGGACAAACTTAAGAGGGGTATGTTCGACCGCAACCAGGCACGAACAAAGGCCACACAGACACCACAACATCAGCTAGCTATGAAGAAGAGTATGGTGTCGGCCATCCCGGAACGACTTGTCAGAATGGCGCAGCAGGAGGCTCCAAAGAAGATGGTCCTGTCAAAGCAAGCATCTGCGTCTGCTGCTGACAGACGGGCTCCAAAGTCAACGCTGAGCCAGCAACAGATTAAACAACGGCCAGCACCAGGCCCACAACAGAGTGTAGCGCCACCTCGCCCATCACTGCCAGCTGGCCAGCAATTCAACGCGCCAAAGCTGAAGCCCACTGCTCATGGTGTTGGTGCTGCTTCAGCGCCAAAGAGGAAACGAGAAGGGTCGAGCATGTTTCAGCCGACCAAGCAGCGAAGGATGTAGGGCCTCTATGCCCACGGTCTTCGGTATGGAATGTTGCGACGTTGAGGAGTTTAATTGTGGACTCATGTTTTGTATATCATTTGGCGGAGGGTGTCTTTGATCATATTTACCGGCATTAAGAGATATCGTACCTGGAGTTGTGGCAAATGGATAGGCCCATGGATACAACGTATGCATCAAAAGGCGTTGAATAGGTGTCAGCTAGACCAGAACAAGTTGAATACTTTTGAGTTTCCGTGTGTTACTCTCAGTGGTGAGGTGAAGGGGAGAGCAAGCTTAGCGTGGTCGAATACGGAAGCCACGCTACTAACTGACCTTCACCGCCTCTAAGGCTCTTTCGTACTTCCACCACACCGGCACCTTGTACAAGTACCCTCTTCATTTCGCCGCACGCCTACCTCGACTGACAATCTAGGGGACTGCTCTATCCCCGACCATGACATTCACGGTTCGCATCGATACTGAACAGTTCTTCTGTGGCTCTGATGCTGGAAATCATCATCCTGGATATCGAATGCGGGTGGAAACATATGCTCAAGCGCTCCTCTCCGGTCTGTGGCTTCGGGAACCGACTAGGAGACAGCGCTTTTAGCCGCGTCTATCAACTAGTCCTGGAGGTCCTCGACACTTTCTGCCTCCCTACGCGCGTAGGACTGGAGTTGTCATTTTGAGCCCCACTCGAGGCCGATGATGCCTAAGTTCCCGGTTACTTCGATGTCCGGTCTCAAGCCTGGAAAGAACATGCTTCAAAGAGGGTTCGTTACGTCAGCTCTTCGGGCAGAACTAATCCAGAACGGATCTGTGATCTGCTCCAATCAGCAACAGATTTTCACCGACTTCATCTCACATTTCCGTTAACCTACATCGATCATGACATTGTGATGTTGAATCACTGTTTCTCGCACAGCTTTCATTGGCGCAACCTCTCCACCTCCACCTCGAACACCTACTCACCAACCACGAAACTTTTGTTCATTTTCAGGATGCGCACCGAGACACTGTAAAATACATATGGTTCTCTTCAACTGGGTTCCCTCATGGGGCATAGTCGGAACCCTAGGCTGCTGTCTCAAGAATGGCGAACCTCCAATTCCTATTTCTCTAGATGTTACTAGAGCAAGAGATGTATCGGACCCCACAATTCCCAGTCGAGTTTATTGGAATCGACACTAACAATGTCCACGTGGCGGGCATCTGCAATGTTGCGCTCACCACCAGGGCTTTGTGTAGCCCAATGGCCACAATCAGAAAAACAGGACGTCTCGTTCGGGGTGGAGAACAAGAGGGCTATCCCTATGTTGTGGACCTTAGAAGGGGAACTACTGCTACGCTCGAATAGATTTGTCCTCCAAAGGACTTTTAGCTCTACATTGTACTGTGCCGTATCTTGTATTCGGTCACATTCAATCACAATGTACAGTACCCGCTTCTACCGCCACCTAATTGCTATCCTCCATCCGACCAGCTTGGCTACATTTCTGGAGATAGCCAAGCATTCGACCTTGGCCAAGTTCGTCACCATGGTCACTGTCAGCGGCGGGAACCTGTTTCCTTACACAGAACTGCTGGGCTAAGTCCCCGACCTACAGGAGCGCAAGAATTTAGAGCGCAACGCCGACAGCTCTGGTCCCAACGTAAGCATCCTTGAGGAGGTGCTTAGTACACTGAAGAATCTGAAAGTCATCGAAATCGATCTCCTCGCTTGGTCCTATGGCTGGATCTTTGATGAGCTCAGCGGAATCAGCTGTGCGCATGCCGAAATGCCGTTGCCTTCACCTGTTCGACTGAGCCGTGAGGAAAGGGTGGAGAAAGCTGTCTTGAACGATCTATATCATGTTGTCCTATCGATCATCAAATGACTTAATCCATGCGGAAAAATCAGACTGGAACTCGGTTTCAAGGGCGAAGCGAACCAATTCTTCGGCGCTGGATCAGCACGATGGAGGAACTTCATTCTGAGCCGGCCGATTGACATCACCATCGACGAAGGTGTGGACTCTGAAAGGGCGAATGACCTTCTTTCAGCAACAAACTCTCTCTAACGGACATGGCTTGTCGGTTTCTGTGGCCCTTTCTCCCAGGGCATCACAATACTTTGTCACCTCAACCTAGGTCCCGGCCTCTGTCAACCAGGCTTCTCACAACTGCTATTCGCCAACTTCGTCGTCGACCGGGGCGCTCTGGAGGACATGCTTAGAGTCCAGCGGCACGCATTACTGCAACTTCGTTTGTCAACGTTGGATTTGCTAACGCCGTCACCCGGGAACCTCAATTTGGCGGTGCTGAAGCCTGGGCAGCGGCTAGGTCACACATATCGATGCGTTATTGATGATATGTGGAACTATAACAGCCGATTGGCTGCCCGAGTGCTTTAGCCTCTGGGACTGCAGAGCATGGGTCGTTGGTCTTGTCACTGCCGTAGATAATTACTTCAGGTTGATCAGCGTCATTAGACTATTGAGTCAAAAAGATGTCCATGCGTACCCGCACAATCAGGGTCCAGACTGACGATCTGAAAGCTGCCATACGCGCCATTTCGTCTCAAGTCGGTGCGGGTGCCGCCAGGGTAGCCGTTGGGACCAGTGAGACTTTTGAAAGAAGTCCGACAATTGGTGTCAGAGAAAGTAGAGATAATGCTAGCCGAGAAAGAGGTGTAGGCTAAAGCGAGGGCGAGCAACAGGATATTGAACAACATGGTCTCAATAGGGTAGACGCAGGGACAAGAAGAACTTGTTCTATCCGATCAGACTCGAATTAGTGGTGTACGCTTGATATGCACTTAGGCTCGCAACAAGGTTGTGCTACAGCCTGATATCGTTGGACGCGCAAGGCTGAGTCCAGAAGTAGAACACTGTGTAACATTCCAAGCTCTTAGCCCGCACCAAGCATGCGGGTAGACTCCAATGACATCTCTGCCCGCAAGCCTACTTAACTCGTCACTCGTAAAGGACAACCTCATATATCTTGTCGGATTCATGGCTCCTGGGGGATGAAATATTGTTCAGGTGGTGTCGCTCGCGAAATAGGGCCAAATTCAAGCGTTTGCCAGATCAAGCCGCTGTCTACCAGTGGTAGCGAACAGTTCAGGCTTGACACCCACAGAATGACTGCTGACTCGACTACTCTCGCAGAAGTTGTTCAGCGCGGCTGTAGAAGCTGGACATACTCACTTCAGCAGGGAATGACCCTATCGTAGCCAAGAAGACCCCACGCTGTATTGTTCAGTAAAGCTGACTTTGCAGATTGGCCACATACAAGCTACGTCTGCATTGTAGGCATATGATAAGGTCTTGCTTGATTTGTTGATGACCTTTGTCGGTTACAGCGTCGACTCAACTCACCTGGGCATCCACCCTTCCGGGAAGCTGAAAGATGGTTCTTACGCCATCGCAGTTTGGCGCCATTATGGCGCCCCTCACGGCAGCGTGGGCGCTGAAGTTGCCATCATAAAGGTGATCAGTATCAAAATCATAGCGTGGCAATAGGTCGTCGATGTCGTAAAGGATTGCGGTAGGTAAGGAGATGGAGGCAAACATCGTGACGTGGTTGGAAAGTGGGGCACCCACGCCCTACGAACAGCAAGACAAGGAGCTACTTCCACGCTTCAGTCATCAGTTCTTCCCACCTCTCAATTGCTCCAAAATGACAGCCAACACGCAGCCGAGAGTCCTGCTGTTTGGTGCTGGTGGTATTGGGACCGTCTATCTCTGGCTGCTGTCGAAAAAGTCGACTACTACCGCTGTCTGTCGATCCAACTACGACGTTGCAAAGAAGGATGGCTTCATCATCAACTCCTCAATCTTCGGTCAAGGCATCCACTTCAAGCCAAACGTCGTGCGGAGCTGCGAAGAGGCAGCGTCTGCAAATACACCCCCGTTCGACTACATCGTAGTGTGCAGCAAAGCTATTCCCGGCACTGTACCCAAGTGGATCGCTCCAGTCGTAACTCCAGGACATACTGCAATCGTGCTGCTTCAGAATGGAGTCGGTATAGAAGAAGAGTACCGCACGGCCTTCCCAAGTAATCCGATCGTCAGCACAGTACTATACCTCCCCGTGACTCAACGACCGGCAGGCGTCATCAACCATGGCGAGACAGAAGGAATCGAGATTGGCGCATACCCCTCGTCTGCACCTGACCAACATGCCAAAGCTTTTACACGTCTCATCCAATCTGCCGGCGCCACTGCTGTCCTTCACGAGGATATTCAGCTGATCAGGTGGACCAAGCTCCTCATCAACGCGCCTTGGAACCCAATATGTGCACTTGCATTCAGCAAGGACACTGATGTGCTCGAAAGTTACGACGGAGCCCCTGGTGTCATTGAAGCTGTAATGTTAGAGATCAGAGATATCGCAGTAGCACACGGATACAACATCACTATGGAGAAAGTGCAGTTCGAGCTTAGCCGCGCAAAGGCACGGATACCTATTCATGCCGGCATCGAGCCGAGCATGCTGCAAGACGTGCAGACTGGCCGACGGATAGAAGTTGAAGCCATAGTCGGAAACCCAGTCAGGATGGGCAAAGCTAAAAGTGTCAAGTGCGACAGGCTGGAGCTCTTGTACGTTCTCGCGAAGACACTAGACTTGCACTTGGGTAGAAAGCTTGACGCATGAGGTCAAGGTATAACGATGCTCTCGCTCTCAACTCGTCTTGCCGCATAACCATCCTGCTAAATTCTATAAACAGCTCTTGTCGCTCAGGTATCGCATGCTCCCGCCGTCTCCGCTTGTGGTGTTCTTTCCGTGACTTGACATTCACCTACAACCCCATCTGGTTACACTCTGCACTCCGCACCACGCGCAAACCTTCCCTTACCTTCACCACTGTTCAGTTATATCATTAATCATTGGCACCGTCACTCCATCGTTACAGGCTACCCCAAGCTAGCCCATTCCCCGCTCGCTCACACTAAATCTGTTTCCATCACAGCGCACCGCGCCGACACTCAGTTCGAGCAAACTCCTGCTCGCACAACTGCAACTACATAACTTTGCGAATATTTTGATCGCACCATAGACAGACACACACCACGCAGTACGCACTTGATCAGCTCTACCCCGAGCTTGCCTCTCTGTTCCACACCACAACACCAGATTCGCCTACCAGCTTTGATTTACCATATTTGCGCCGCCAACATGTCGCTTCTTTTGAGCATAGCCTCTTTCCTATTGCATACTGCCATGCTAGTCTGCACATTGCCTGTCATGGCTGTCGCTATAATCGCGGTGATCACCAAGAAGATCTGTTACGCTCTGAGCGGCTCATCCGGCGAGCTCGATTACTCCTTCGAACGCGTTGACAATTATTACGTCGATAACACAATCTCTGATCCCTGGGAGACCTGCCGCTACCTGGGTATCCTGGCTGGTATGCGTCTACTTACTGCTGCTTTGTTGTGCGGCTGCACGGTTCGTAAGTATCATTCAACATTTACTGTTGCGTGGACTCACCTTTCGCACAGTCAACCAATGGCTGCACGACCACCTGCCGTAGCGGCTCTGGAATTCTGTCCAAAGGTACCACGCCCTGCAATACGGCACAATTACAGCCTGATACTCGATGTGTCCAAGCCTCTCCGCACTCGTCCTTACCCCCAATACGCAGATACTCAGGCATCTTCATCGCTATCCACAGCTAAACCATTCCCTTACACCAACTTTGATCCCCACCGTGGCTGCAATCGCTCCGTCAAAAAAGCAGAACTCATCTTCGTTTCGACTCCAGACACCAGGAACTTCCTCAACAAGGATGAAAAGCGAGAACTTGGCAATCAGTACGTCGAAAGGAACGGCTCTAGGCGGTGGCAACGCATTCCAAAGCGAAGAGAAGATGATAATAAAAGCATGGCTGACCCTACTGTAATCGGTAGTCAGCAGAGTACACTCAAGTCTGGAAAGAAGGGTCAAAATCCAGTTGATGCTTGCGCTATTGTTGTCACCAAAGTACCTGAAGTAATTAGAGGTTTCCTGGCTGCAGCGTCTGAGGCCCCAGATGATGCTGGAGTCAGCAAACTTATTCAAGGAACTTCTGGAGCTAGTAAAATGACCAATGTTCAGGGAAGCTCAGGATCTCCAACACGCTTCTCCTCCAACCCCTGGCCCAGAAGCAGCGAGCTTTATCATTCAAGGTCTCAACTCTATCCCAAGCAAACCTCAACCTCTTGTGCGTCAATGCGCATAACTTACCGACTCCACAAGTGCTTGCACGCCGGCGGCATGTACAGAGATCCTTGAGTCGCCTGAATAGCGGCTCATCGAGGTCCTCGGGTATCTAGATGGCAACGCATTGACTTTCGCTACTTCCATGACATATCTTGTGCTGCTTTGATCTCCGGTACTTGCATATTGCATCGACATATGCTGTCTACAAATGGATCCAGCACGCACAACTACTCCTGGCCTCATTCGATGGAGTGGGACTTTGCCTTGACCGATACCTTGAGTCCATGTGGATCAGGGTCATCCAGGATTTCTTTCATGAGCTACGGCCTCACTGCGACATTGTCAAGAGCTTCGACAACGAAGATCTAAAAAATTTCCTGGAGACGCTCTTTGCTCTCCGCCAGCGCTTCATACTATCGCTTCAAGCACTTGAGGTGACTCAACTTGAAGCCCCTCCAGTCGCCCCTCCAGAGCCAACACCAGCCACCACGAAGCCGGCCGAAGACCTCCAGGCCCCTTCGCCACCGAAATCTTCTCCTTTCGATTTCACGTTTGGGACCTCCACGACACAATTCAGTGTATCCAAGCCGACATCTCAGCCTGCTGGTCAGCAGCAAGCTGCTGCAGATCACTCTCGTGCCAGCAGTAGGCCCACTGGCTACCCCCACGCCCAACAATGCAGTTACTAACGCACCTCCTCAGTCTTCTGGCAGTCAGCGGGCCGGTTCGACTTCAACAGCTGGGTCAGAGCAAAAGTCATCGAAAGGCTACGTTGTCATCAACGAGCCGAAGATTCCACCATCAAAGAGCGCGCGTAACTTCCACGATCTGAACAGCCTCCATCCCTTGTTCCCTGAAGAACTGACGAAGATCGCCGCAAAGTGTTTCTACTGGAATGATTGGGACATCTGGAAGTATACTGGTGCAGAGAACCTCCGTCTGGAGCCGAAGAACAAAGCATACTGCAACAACAAAGCCCTTGTACAGATGAAGTCAGAGGGCATTGCACTCAGACTCAAGCGAGCTTTGCTTGTGCTTCGCTTTCAAGCTGATCCACGATGCAAATGAGATGAGAAAGTTTGCAGCGCGACGAAATCTGAAAATTTTCCAGAAACGGAAAGGCTGGCGCAATGCTTTTACCTTCTTCCATAACATGGTCGTCTGCGAAGACGAAATCGAGAAAGGGTTGATCAAGCAACACGGCGAGGACGCGTGGTACGCGCTTGCCAATTTTTGAACGAATTCACCGAAGTCACCCTATCCCTATTGGCAAGCGGAATCTATTCTGATAGAACGAACCCTCGCGGATCAAATCGAAGGTATGCGATGTAACTGGCTCAGAGACTGACGCGGCTAATCGAAAATCAGATGGTATCGCAGCAGAAGGAAGTTGATAAAGTGCAGCAACCACCCTGACCGTTCTTACGTTCGACCCACCCACTATTTTCCCCACAAGAAATAGTCTCTAACCATTCTCAATTTCGATATTCATCGGTTTCCGATGTTGCTATTTGCTGAGCAAATGGGGCGGTGCCTCAGACTGAGCATGCGCTTCAGGTCCCCGAATCCCGACGCGAAGCCAAATCTAGACGTGCGTACCAACAGCACAGGAATAACTCAACTTCGGCCATGATCCAGGCCTCTGCGTTGCATTAACTACCTCAAAATCCCTAGTCATCCGTTCCACAGCACCACCATCTCGAAACAATGGTCTCAGCCCAATCACTCGCCCTCCACCTGCTCATCACCCTCCGAACTATCTCCGCCAGCCCTTTGCCCCGGCATCACAAGCCTGTCAAACGCAGCACAACAAGCCAGAATGTCGGCAGTGGATTTGCGATAGCAATATGCGTTGTTTTCCTCGCCGCCATTTCCTACTATTTCGGAATGCACCACGAGCGCACAAAGTCATGGTTCAGCAAGCGCAATGCGCCCACTGTATCCGAGCCCGTAACTCATAATAAGACAATCATGGAGGGACAAAGACGTCTGAGGCAGATAAGCTGCCCGCTCGCAGTAGCATCTTCAGCACCCATCAAGCCGTACGATGATCCAGTCGAAGCGCCAACACCAAGCTTACGGTACTACGAACTGCCTATCAAAGAAGTGCACGAGATGGGTCTGCCGAGCCCGAACAAACCTCCGCCACGAGCGAGTTGGCTTTCGCTCGATCGCAAGACTTGGTGGCTCAAGTACCCCGAGGACGAAGAGCAAAGAAGGAGTGCAAGCACGAGCAGGAGCAAAAGCGTGCGCAGTTGGTTCAAAAGCGAAATAAACATGAACAACGTGCAAGAGGAGATACCAAAGCCGTCACCTGGACTGATCAAGGCCGTGCATCTGGAAGCTCACAACGCCAGCGAAGATGAAAAGGAGAGGACAAGCGATGGAAGTACATTCATGGACTGGAGTGGCTTGGACTATGTACGCAGGATTTATATTGGACGCAAAAGCAGGGTCGGACTATAATGCCGTATGGGCTACCTAATACACTAATCAATTGCAAGCTTCTGCATGACACCCTGTTCTGTTGTTTCCTCCTTGACGTTCGTCGAATAGACTCACAGACTTAGCAGGACAAAGCGGCAAACAGTGCAAACGCCAGACATCAACACCGCACAGATCAAAATGACCTACTATCAAACAGTAATACCATCAGGATTGGACATATCGAATGACTCCAAAAGATGACGTAGCTTCAACGGCTGCGGCATCTCCATGATCGCCGGCGAGTACAAAGGATCAAAGATCCTCACTATCACTTGTCAGCGCAACTCAACTTCAAACTCACAATAGAGACTTACATATGCAACATCTCACTCTCGCCACCATGCTCAGGCTTCTTCTTCCTACTACTCCCCATATCGAACGCAAAGTAATCCGGACTCTCCTTGAATGGGTTTCCCATGTCAGGCGTACCCATATCAATGACCGCCGACGTCGGCGGGATGGTAGTCAATATCATGTGCGGATGATCAAGTTGGGCATCTTGGTCGGATATGCGGCGCTGATACTTGCGCGGAAGTCGCACGCGGTTTACACAATCTCAACATACAATCTGGTACCTCCGAATCGAGCGTAAGCACTTGTATCATGCCGAACTCCTTACCGCCACCAGCGCCTGCAGTCTTGCCAGCAAGCGCACGCACTGGCTTGTCTCCCCTATCAGACTCATCGCTTCGAGCCAGTGTAGAAGATGCATCTGGAGGAAGACGTGCACTGTGTCGCCGTCTGCGATGCTGTGCTGGCTGCGCTCGAGATGCTCGACCCAGTAGCGGCACGCATACTGCAGCTCAGGCAAGAGGCTGCTAGCCACTACTTCCTCTTCTATCTCGCTTCTCAGCGTCCCAGGTTTCGAAAGACCGCATATGTCCTGCCGAAGGCCGTTGGGCGCGGACATGAGCTGAAGGCAGCGAAACGCCAGCTTCTCTTGTGTGCTGCGCTCGTCTACCCAGAAGCTGTCGTCGCTGCATCTGTCTATGCTAAGGAGGAAGTCGCGAAACGAAGGGTGGTGCAGACGAAGCGGCTGCAGTGGGTCTTCTAGAATGTTGAGAATAGCATGCAGATCCTTCAGCATACAGTGCATCCTATGCTTTGGGACGAGGAGCGCACCTGAGGATCTAATAGAAAGCGGAGAAGCAAACACCACAATACCTCCCAGGATAAGTCGCAGCATGGTGTAGTACATCGTCGTCTCATGCGTACTGTATCCAGGCTGGACCAAGGTCTGTAGGACTGTGAGATACATCTTGTTGAGCTGTTCTTCTGGCGCGGCTACATCACGAGAGATACTGCACTCAACAAGTATGCGCAATCTCACATCGGGGAATAGCCCTTCACGAACAAAGAGACAGGCAGTTGCTGCCCAGATGAACAAACTGCTAGCATGCTGCACTAACAGTCTGATTACTTCTGCGCCCGGCCAGTCAGCATCCTGATAGCTTTCCTTTACAATGAACCTGAGGTGGTGCTCAAGGAAAGTGGATATGTCATGGTCGATGATCGACGGCAAGATGTTGTGCAGCACGACGTCCTTGTGCTCCGTGTCCGACACCTGCCCGAACCCATGTCGGATCGGCACTTCCGGCCTGCTCGTCAGGAACACCCGCAGCCTCACACCCGTCAACGACGACTGCTTGGGTGCTGTCTCTGCTCTTGCCGAACGTGTTGTTCTGTGTGCTTGCAGTGTGCTGGGGTAAGGGTCGATCTGTAGCCTGCGCACTACTAGTAGCGTCTACCGCAGGGATCTTAGACAACAGCCCTTTAGCGCACGCTGCCACCGTAGCTGCCGCGTAGTTCTGCCAGCCCTTGTTCTTGTGCGAGTCTGCATAGTCGCAGATGCCCCGGACAACTACACACGGATACTCGTCCATCACTCCAGCTGCTTCCATCTCGAAGCAGATGACATCGTGCTCTCGCTGCACTCTCTTGCTCTCGACGGCAGATATCTGCAGCTGATTGCTCGATGCGATATTGCCGAAGTGAACGGCCGGTCGTCGTACTGGTAAAGCCAGCGTTGCCACAGTCAGTGGAACAGAAAGTGCCCAGTATACCCAGAACTGACGGGACACAGCAAACAGCGGTTGTCCAGCGTCTCTGTCAGGCTCAAACGAGAAGAAGTTGGTTCCAAAGATCGTCTGTGCGACAGGTCGTGTTTTAGCCACATGAACGCATGACAGTCAGTATAAGGGACGAAAAACTTACAGAAACAAAAGGGGCTGGCAAGAAAGTCATCGAGACCACAGCGATCGCCTTCATCGCCGACGCTTCTCTCTTCGCCTCTTCTCCTATCTGCAGCTGGACCATGCTGTCCCTCTGTGCGGCAGCGTTGAAAGCCTGATATCGTAAGTTTGGAAGGCCGCTACATACTGCCTATCGTAGACTTGACTTATTAGAGTGATCTCGTTCTGGATGCGCGCGTTGTTCGCTTCAGACCGCTGAAGCAAGCCCTGTAGGAGGCCGAGCTAGAACTCGAAGCGACTGCCGACTTTGTCCCAGCGTCTGCGGCCATTCTTGCTGCGGGCGAGGTCGTTGTTTGCACGGAACCGCTCATGGTGATGCTGCATGGCGTCAAGAGACCGTATGGCCACGCTGAGAGTCTCGCTGACGTGCACCCCGTGTCTCGCGATCTCGTGCAAAAGGAAGTAGTCGGTATCTACTAACCTCCTCTGTTGCTGGTGGTGAGCCTCACTGCTGTTAGCGACAGGCGCGGCGAACGAAACTTACGGCTTCCCACTGGCTGATGTGGTTTCTGATCGCCCAGACCGAGTCATCATACAGCCGAAGAAGCGCATCCAAGACCTGCGGAAACACGGCGTACGGACAAGAAAGAGAGACATCCTGCGGCCAGGTCATTGACTGGATGTCCGATCGCAACTTCGCAGGCAGATCGAAGCACAGCAGCGTGACCGACCCCGACTTCGTCCAGCATGCGAAGAACCCCATCTCGTACCATTCCCATCCGTGCCGCGCACTCTGCGGCCCGTGTATCGCGATGTCAGCGTTGCACTCGCTGGCGCTGTTGTGATGGTTGGAGATGTGTGGTGTGAACGTCCTCTTCGGCTGGAGCTTGTCGTACGTCTGCTTGACCGTGAAGCGAGACTAGTACGCTGGGGTCAGATGAGGGACATCCCGACAGTGTCCTGAGCTTTGCCCGCGCTACTGTACATACTGTAGAACTCCACTTCCTCGTCCTTGTCCAGCCAGACGTCATACCCTCAAAAGCCGCTTGACTGAAGATACATGCTGTCAAAGAAGAACGAAGGGATCTTCAGCTTGCCTCTAAGGTTTCCTTGGAGTTCTGGTGCAGTGTTTACGAACGATTTAGCAGACGCGAAGCTGTTTGGTGTCAAATCGTAAGCAAAAGCTGCTCTGTCGGCAACTTACACGACTTGAACGCGGGCAGCGTGGACATCCTATAGCCAAGTCAGTCACTTACTTGCAGATCCTTTCCTCCACTAGCCTGTAGCAGTTCTTCCCATGTTATCTCTCGAGATTGGCACGAGTGGTACGCAACGAGGTCTGGTCGTTCAAGTTGATATTTTCTCCAACGTTCGTTGCGTAGGATACTAGCCTAGCCGGATGACTTCGTCCGTGTCCATCGCGTTGCAAAGATTCCCTTGGTGTAGCTATGTGGTCACAGTCTATCGGATACGCTGCGAATTCCGGGAGGTACGGCGGAGCGAGCAGGCTGGCGATCAGGCGCATGCATGCATCCTTGGCCCCTGCCATGGACCTCGCGACTGACTTGTCGAGATTGCGAGGCTGCAGGCTGCATGGCCGCCAGGCTGAAGCCCAAGAGGCGCTGCGCCGCGGTACCATCACCGCAGACACTCCATCGCTGATGCACGCGCTGCCGCAGCGATGCCATGGCCTCTACGACATCTAATGTAGCGTTCGGCAACGCCTACTCCAGCGTCCAAGCCAACACCATCAATGGCTCTGTCCACATTGGTACGTTGCGGGACCGCCCGAGGGCCGTCAAGCTGTCAGGTAGAAGCGGGACGCTAAGCAGACACCTCAAACAGGACTCGAGAACACCCTCAGTGGTCTCCCGCGCGCCGAAGACGCGCCCTTCAACTCGTACACTAAGCAGCACGAGCCTGTCTGCCTCCCCGACACACGCGTTGATCTCCTACACGAGATACACAGCTGGGCGAACGGGACAGATGAGCGATGCATCTTCTGGCTGAGCGGGCTGGCGGGCACGGGCAAGTCGACCATCGCCCGGACAGTGGCGCGCAGGTACTTTGGGGAGAAGCGTCTGGCTGCGAGCTTCTTCTTCTCGCGCGGCGGCGGCGACGTTGGCCATGCGGGTAAGTTTGTGACGAGCATCGCGGCGCAGCTTGCGCGCAGCGTGCCAGCGTTGCGGCAGCACATCTGCAACGCCATGACAGAGTGGAGCGACATTGTCAGCCACTCACTGCACGATCAGTGGCAGCACCTCGTTCTCTGCCCACTGTCGAAGCTGGATGAACCAGAGCCAGCGAAATACGTCGTGGTCGTTGATGCGCTCGACGAGTGCGACAGCGACAGCAACATCCGCATCATTGTGCAGCTGCTGGCCGAGGCACGGTCGTTGACAGGTGTCCAGCTGCGGGTGTTCCTGACTAGCCGGCCAGAAGTGCCAATCCGGCACGGGTTCGGGCAGATGGCGGATGCGGAGCACAAGGATGTTGTGCTACACGACATCTCGCCGTCGATCGTCGACCACGACGTAGGCCTTTTCCTCGAGCATCACCTTAGGGTCATTGCCAAAGAATGCTATCAGGCTGCCGACTGGCCGGGCGCAGAAGTGATCAGACTGTTAGTGCAGAGTGCAAGCGGTCTGTTCATCTGGGCGGCAACTGCCTGTCACTTTGTCCGTGAAGGGCTGTTCGCTGATGAGAGGCTTCGCATACTTCTTGCAGGCAGTGCTTCTAGTGATGCAGTCGCGCCAGAAGAACAGCTCAACAAGATGTATGCCACAGTGTTGCAGACCTCGATTCGCCCCGGATACAATGCGCAAGAGATGACCATGTACTACAGTATGCTGCGACTTATACTGGGAAGCATTGTAGCATTGATTTCTCCGCTCTCTGTTGGATCCCTGAGTGCGCTCCTCCTCGTACCAAAGCATAAGGTAGACCAGACGCTGCAGAATCTGCATGCTATTCTCAACATCCCAGGAGACGCGAGACGACCGCTTCGTCTGCACCATCCTTCGTTTCGTGACTTTCTGTTCGATAGAAAGAGATGCGGTGAGGACAACTTTTGGGTAGACGAGAAAGGCATACATAAGACGCTGGCATCTCGCTGCCTCGAGCTCATGTCTGCGCCTAACGGCCTTCGGCAGGACATGTGCAGTCTCTCAGGACCTGGGACCTTAAAAAGTGAGATCGATGCAGGATCAATTAGTATCAACCTGTCACCCGAGCTGCAGTATTCGTGCCGTTACTGGGTCGAGCATCTCGAGCGTAGCCAGCACAGCATCGCAGACGCAGACGAAGTGCACGATTTTCTCCAGACGCACCTTCTGCACTGGCTGGAAGCCATGAGTCTGATGGAGGAGACAAGCCAGTGCGTGCGCTTGCTGACAAGACTGCAGACGCTCGTGGGGGTAAGAAGTTACATATGAAAAATGCATTCACTACATATACTAATTTCCGATGTAGCTATCTGCAAGCGCCTGTGCAAGCTTCCTTCGCGATGCAAACCGATTTGTACTGCGGTTCTGTTCGATTGTGGCAGAGGCACCCCTGCAGGTGTACTCGTCAGCGCTTGTCTTCGCACCAGAGACGAGCATTGTCCGGAAAACGTTTGTCTACCAAGCCATACTGGCCGTGGAAATACTGTCGGGCGGAGAGGCAGACTGGGATGCGTGTCGCAGCGTGCTGGAGGGCCATTCACTCTCTGTCAAGGCGGTGGTGTTCTCGCCAGATGGACAGCTGGTCGCCTCAGCATCTCGCAACAGGACAGTGCGAGTGTGGGAGACGGCGACGGGCACGTGTCGCAGCGAGCTGAAGGGCCATTCAAGCTTGTTCACGGCGGTGGCCTTCTCGCCAGATGGACAGCTGGTCGCCTCAGCATCTCGCGACAGGACAGTGCGAGTGTGGGAGACGGCGACGGGCACGTGTCGCAGCGAGCTTGACAACCCGTTCATGTACATTGACAAGCTCACCTTCTCGCCAGACGGTACTGCTCTGCATACCAACAGAAGAGACATTCCGCTGCCTGCAGACCTATACCTGAAGTCGCCTCTGGAGCCAGAAGAACATGCTTCCCACCTCTCAGTAAAGGGCCGGTGGGTGCTGCGCAATACGCAGCGCTTTCTGTGGGTGCCCTTTGAATTTCGGTCATACAAATCGGCAGTATGTAAGGATATGGTCTGTCTTGGGTGTCCGTCTGGGCGCGTGGCTCTGCTTAGGCTGCAATAGAGTTGTGCACAGGAGCGTTGCGGTCGTCTGCAGTAGCATGCTCATGAACACATTAAAGTCTAAATGCAACAACTGAGATGCGAACACAAATGGCATGAACGGTTGTTGCTATGATAAATGCATCATGTTTATATATACTAAAGATGTCTCTTGGAATTGCTAGCTGGATTGTGCTTCTGTAGCGGTGAATCGCTACCAATGTTTGAAGCATGTACGCGATCTGACTCTCGTCTTGTTGACCTCGACATTGTAGATGTGCATGGTAATTAAGCATGCGCCCGTGCCTAGCCGAACGCTTCTAACTCACGCCGGCATCGGTCCATGTCTAGCCACAACCCCAGGCGGTGCCATGTAACAAGGCTAGGTTATCTAACGCTATAAGCAGTCCGTGTGGCGTAAGGCTGTCTCACGCTAGCTAGTATTAGCAGCGGTTTGCTTTAGAGGTACCAGCTCCCACGTTGAGATTGTGTAAAACCTTGCGCGACAGCAGCCACAACACTTGTAGCGACTTCTGCACATTGTTGCGATGTGAGTAGGCTTCAATAGAACACATATGTAAGTTTCAGGAGCAGCAAGACTGTCGTGGTGCTGCTGTAGAGGGAGGAGTATGTTTCGCAGCAAAGGAAGGCACTTTATGGAACAGGCGCGGAACCATCAACGTGGCGGTATTATTTGTTGTGAAGGTGTGCACACGTGTGACTTGTCTGCAGCAAACTATTGCTATCAGCGCATAGCAATTACTGAGGTGTGGTGGAAGCAAGACGCGTTCAAGGTCAAAGTGACGGTGGTTTTGTTCGGCGCGGGGGGCTGTTCGAATCGCAGGGAGGGAGGTTACACTGGAGGATCGTGATGACGATTCGGCCATCATGCCGGTACCTCGATTTGAAAGAAAAAAGCGATAATGATTACCAACTGAGGTCCACGCAGGGCGACAAGCAGTTTGAGAGACTCTTCCATGTGGAGGCAAAGTCATATTGGGTAGCATCTCTACCTCATTGTTGAAGTGAACCATATCGAATCATGCAGCTACCAACTTTACCTCGAAAAGGTTAGACTTGGGTGCTGGACCTGCATACACTAAGACACCCCCGGATCCATACCTGACGGCTCCCCTTGGGGTTCTATAGGCGAGCATGTCTCAGTATGTTTATCGTACGAAACGTTCTGGACGTGCATAGGGCTGAGACATCAAAGTCTAGGCAAACATGACTTCTAGTTCTGACGCATCGTGAGCTCGATAGACATCTGCGAAGCTCCCCTAGGTAATCAATTGCTGTTATCGATGAGATCGATGCAGTCATCTTGACTTTCCTGACACCATCTGGCGGTGATGTTTCAGATTACTCGATGTTTGCGGTTCGCCTTATTGTTGTCGAAACTACAGACCCGAGCTTGTGATCATGAAGCAGTTGCGATCGAGACGGCCGAGAACCATAATGTAGATCGAGGTTACATAGCAGCGTGGTCAGACTCGACTGTGCCACGGGAATGTAACTGTTCGTGCCGGGGCATCTCATACCGGACTGCCTCTTTTGGTCCAGCAGCCGTCGATGGGAAATTGTGCAGGGTTGCCGTATATATCGTTCGTGCGCGTTGCGGCACATCGTGTGGAAATGGGTGAGGCCCCTGAGTGCTCTGGAGTCACTGTCGCGCTGTAAAGATCTGCATTGAACGTGCAGACCTGCTTGATATCTGCGGTATCAGTTCTTAGTCAAAAGAAACATTCACAGACCGAGTCAGCTCAGACGCGAGCGAGGTCTGTGTGGGGTATTCGAGAAGTTACGTGGAGAGGCTCTTCGACGTCGTGAGGTGTGATTCGATGCCAAGGGCTTATTTCCAGTACCGGGGAAGGAACGAGCCGCCGCTATTCCCAACCTTTCAGCTTCCGCCACTGACGGAACCGAGAACGAATTACTAGAGTGCAGACTTTTCCTTGCCAGCCTTTCGGCTTCAGTCATGCGGCGCGGTAACATCGCGCTTGCCTGTGTGGTACAAGTTCACGCGAACGGGCGCGACAACCCGCCCATAACCGATTATGTCCTTGCTCAAATTTTTGCGCTCGCCGCGAATCACCAGATGGTCACGGATCACCCTCGGCAACCGGCGCGGCGAGGTTGAGGCCTTTGCCCATCAAGTGGACCATCACGAAAATTTCTATGGTCGATGCGATGACTAGAGCGCGTGCAGTTGGCCGACGGCTGACATTCAGGCTGTTGACGCGGTGCACCATGGCCCCACAAGATCACACGAGCGCAATTGAAATACATCTGTTCCCCAGTTGATGCGTGCTTGACCCATAGTTCAGTCCACGATTCTGTCTACCAGACTTCACGTCTTACGCCAGGGCTCATTCTCCCTTCTCGTCAAGATGGCAGCCACACAAGGACCTGATGCCATTGCGCCCAAGACGGACAACCACTCGAGCAAGTCGGTTGCCCACTCGGCAAGCGACCTCGAGAAGCAGCAAACACCTCAGGGCGATGAGCTGCAGAGGAAGCTATCAAGTCGTCACCTGCAATTCGTTGCTATTGGTACATTCACCATCAATTCTATTCAGGACAGCATTGCTAACTTATGCAGGCGGAACTGTCGGAACTGGTGTTTTCATTGCCAGTGGAAGCTCAATTAACACAGCTGGTCCTGCAGGCGCGCTGCTCGCCTATGTCTTCGTCGGTACTCTCGTCTACTCAGTCATGATGTCTCTCGCCGAGATGGCTACCTACCTTCCCATCGCCGGTGCCTTCACACAATATGCCTCTCGTTTCGTCGACCCCAGTCTTGGATTCGCTATGGGTTGGATTTACTGGTTTTCGTGGTCGATTACCTATGCGCTCGAGTTGTCAGCAGCCGGACTCATCATCCAGTGGTGGAACCAGGACTTGAACATCGCCATCTTCATCACCATCTTTTGGGTTCCGATCACTGCAGTCAACTTCCTTCCCGTTGACATATTCGGCGAATTTGAATTCTGGTTTGCTTCGATTAAAGTCGTTGCCCTGCTTGGCTTCTGGATCTTTGCCATCATCATGAACGCTGGCGGTGTTGGACCCCAAGGATACATTGGTTTCAAGTACTGGGACTCTCCTGGTGCTTTCGCCCCTTACCTTGCCGACGCACCTGCTATTGCGAAGTTCGTTGGATTCTGGGCTGTTCTGATCAAGGCCGGTTTTGCTTTCCAGGGTACCGAGCTCTGCGCCATCGGTGCTGGAGAATCCGCGAACCCCCGTGTTACCATGCCCAAGGCTATCCGCAACACATTCTGGAGCATCTTCACCTTGTTCATTTTCACCATCTTCTTCGTTGGCATCCTGGTTCCCTACGATAACGAGTCCATTGCCATTGGTAATACAAACGCTGGTTCCTCTCCCTTGGTCATTGCCATTCAGCTTGCTGGAGTTTCTGCGCTTCCAGATATCTTCAACGCCATTCTCTTGACTGTCGTTCTGTCTGCGGCTAGCTCCAATGTGTACTCTGGCAGTCGTATCCTAGTTGGTCTTGCTGAGAACGGCTGCGGACCAGCTCTGCTCAAGAAGACCACAAAGAACGGCGTGCCATACTGGGCCACCGCTGTTACTGGTGCAATGGGTCTTCTTGGCTACATGAACTGTTCTGCCAGCGGAACCGAAGCCTTCAACTGGCTCCTGAACATCGTCTCCGTTGCTGGTTTCATTGCATGGTCTTGCGTTTGCATCTGCCACATTGCGTTCATGAGGGCTCTCAAGGTGCAGAACATTGACCGTGACACTCTGCCTTTCAAGTCCTGGGGTGGAGCCCCCATGGCCTGGTACGGTCTGGCTTTCACTGCCATCATCACCATCACACAGGGCTTCACCGCATTTGTTCCTTGGAACGTCGAGAACTTCTTCATCGCGTACATCAGTTTGATCCTGTTCGCTGTCCTGTACATCGGCCACAAGATCGTATACAGGAGCCCACTTGTCAATCCCGCTGAGGCCGACTTGGTCACTGGCCAGTTCCACGATGAGGTTGCTGAGACCTGGGAGGAGAGCTCCAGGTCGACATGGAAGAACCTGATGAACAAGTTCTCCAAGTCATGAGCCTTGTCTTTTAAAAGCATTGGGTGCGGGTCTTTAAAAGTCGTTACGACCGCATGGCATGGCGTTTACTTAGTGTATTGATATCTTGGAGCACGATACCACCGTTAATGTTTACTTGTTACTGTTCAAGTTTCTTGTTTTCAACCCATGTGCATGCGCTTGGCCTATTTCCTAACATCCATGATGAAAGTCATGCAGTCCCTTGCTAAGAGCCGCAGCCATCAAGATTCGAAAAGTACAGGTTTGGCAATGAACCTCTGCCGGTGCCTGATCTCGATTCTCGCGTAAATGATCCTAAATCGAGATGTGCATCACTAATAGCATCAACAGTATAGCCTCGCGTGGAGAAAGGCTTATCACCTCAACGCGCTGTTGGACGTGAGGCAAAAGTCACGACCAGAATAGATTGAAGTGCCACATCTATTGGCTGCAGTGCGAAAATGACGATGCGTGTTGTAGTATTGTAGGGATCATTGCAGCTGTCAGGCACAAGGATCGCGACTGCCGCGCAGGAATGACGTGGGTTGGCGCATAAGCGGATCGGCGATTTCACCCGAATAAGGAAGGCGCGATGAGTGGAACGGCTAGGGCTAACGGCTGTGCATGCGCTTTTCTCCCTGCCACAACAACAACCACAACCTTCAAGATGCAATGAGGTGTCAATCTTTTACGCAGCATCTTGCGCAGCAATCGTGAGGCTGTAATGCGCCATACGTCTGAGTCGATTCGCTACCACCTACAAAGACCAGCAGCGTACTCTTTCCAAGCTTCGCCCCCCACTGCAAGCACAGTGACATTGAGTAGGTAAGTAACTATACATTCAACCTTGTGCTATAGCGCCCACTAAGCGAGCTAAACTTCCCGAACCAGTTGTTCTTGGAAGCGCTCTCAGCTTTGATTTGTTCTGCGCCTTGCTCCTCCCCTTGCTCCACGTTTGTGATCGACACCCCTATTCCATCCCGTCCTGTTACGGCTATCCACATGGCACAACGGCAGTTGACACATCTTTACAACGTCGAGTCGCCACGATGTGATACTGCTTGCCATTTCTGCTCTCTCTGAACAGGGCAGGATCAACCTAGGAAATCGTTGACAAACAGTTGCCTCATGGTATGCGCAACTACATGTGGCTATAGCTTCTCATTCACGAGGCCTTCTTAGTTCACCCCGCATATCAACACGCAGCAGTCGTGCCGTCTCAGCCACGAACGGCTCTAACGGTCTGCCCGTCCCTCGATTGAGCCACTCAGAATCATGCGTTAGGGCGTTGCAGGCTGAAAACACACGATCAACGTCACTCCTGTCTAGGCACGGCCCCAAGCTGGTAAACCGGCAACCCATATTGGCTCTGCCCACATGCTTGAGCCACTTTATGGACATGCTGGGGTATATCACTCCTGAAGGGCGATGACGATCCGCTTTTCGTGCACAGTCGTCGATGACGAGGTATTGTTCTCTTTTCCACATGTCTCCCATTCTTGAACTTGGACTTGGAGTAGGGCGTCAAGAAATGTATAAGTAGGCCCTTAGGATGTCGACATTTGACCATCATCAAACATCATCAACTCTCAATTCACTCACACATCCATTCAACCAATTACCTTTCCGTCTTCTCGCCTACCGAAACTAGCCATCAGAATGCAGTACTTCACCATCCTCGCTCTCGCTACCGCTGTCTTCGCCGCTCCTCTCGAGGAGCGCCAGGCCGGCCTCTGCTCATCGGGCTCTCCTCTCTGCTGTGCGACCGACATCCTCAACCTCGCCATCCTCGATTGCCGGACTCGTACGTGCATCCCGTTCCAGCATCATGACATTGTTAAGATGAGCTTCGCCGGACTTTACTGACACTCGGCGCAGCTCCCACCACCCCCACCGGCATCAACAACTTCATCGACATCTGCTCCGCTGAGGGCCAGCAGGCTAAGTGCTGCTTGCTTCCTATCCTCGAGCAGGCACTGATCTGCACTGATGTTCAGCCTCAAGCTGCTGCTCCTGCTGCCTCTGCTGCTTAAGCAATCGAGTATCGATTTAAGTTGGGGTGCATGTTGATATGTTAGGGTTGTACAGGATAATGTGAATTATGGTGGTGTGTAATGGACAATGATATAAACGATAACTGTTTCTACTGTTCTGCATTACAAATTTTCAGTGAGCATTGCTAGCTATCCCTTTAATCTCTCCAACTGTGTTGACGTTCTAGTCATGATCATCAAGTTTGAGAACTAGGGTCTAAAGTTTCCATGGTGGCTGTAGGAAGTACGCCTAAGTCCTAAGTGTCTATGTTCCTAACTCTGCCAAACCAGTCACTCCCGATTCAATAGTCTCGGCTCAGGACTCGATGGCAATGATGTGGTGACCTATGAAAGCCTTGTGTGGTCTTTCAACACACAATTCTGCACTATGTATCGATCCCTTCTGAAGTGGGAACACAACAGCGAACAGTCATTCCTGTCGCTTTTTCTCATTCGATGTACTCGAAAACCTGTCTGTCAGATATGTCAACGTGGTTCACGGCGCACGACTGCTTAGAATCCCAGATATCAGGATTTCTGTCCAATCAGCGGATCATGGGTGCGTTTCTCCAACCATCAGTGGTTTGTGGCTGTGTCGTCGACCAAGCAAAACACCCTCCTTTTTGAATCAATAGTAGAGGCTGTGTGGAAGCCAAAACAATCCTTCAATACCTGAGTCAGACGTTTCACAGAATGCTATGCCGTGGTGCAGCATGATGAAATTTAGATGTGGAGGAATTCATAACATTCGTTATGAGCTACTCAGTGATATCGTGCGCCACACATGTGAAGACAGTGCAAAGCAGCGGAAGAGAACCCTTCCTATCACTAACATTGCCCGTCCTGCTCAACTCTTCCATTTGTCTTTAGTTCCACAGTCTGACGACTCCCATAAGTCCCAATCCCAATGCGCCCATCATCAGCGTACCACTTGGCGATACTGAAACAGCAGTGGATGAGTTGCCACTGCTGCCTCCGCTGCTTCCCTTGGGTTTGCTTGCACGATCATCGAGTTGTGGGAGTCCGGCTGCAGCGCGACCCATCAGCGCATGACGAAATTCTGGGACGCTCTCTGGAACGGCGGGACTGGTGAGAGGTGCTGGGTTTGAGAGGGCGAGGGTTGCGTAGATGAGGGTTATTGCTGCGATGAACTTCATTGTGGTGTGTAGTGGGGGCCGTTCAGTGCGTAGTATTGAGTCGTGTGTTGACGGTTTGATATCGGTTGTGTTGGCTAAATCTAGTAGAGTTTGAAAACTTCCCTGAAGTTGTGTAGAGTATGGGAAACCGTGAGCAGAAGGCCGCTGATATATGTATACGGCTACGAGCAAGCGGTGTAAGCCATGGTCTCACTACGCCGCCTGCATCGAAACTTGGAAGACTGCTGACCGGCGATGATCGCCAACACAGCCTGGATAGAAAGGGCCATGGTTGGTGACGTCTGCATCGTAGAGCCAACCAGATGCCGCCGCGAACTGGGTGGCTTTCTCTTGGCTACGCCTTACAAGGTTTCACTGTGCAGCTGAACAAGCACCAACCATCATTAGGCCTGAGCTTTGTGATGGATGTTTACACAGGCTTCGTACTTCGCCTACATTGTCTTGCTATTTCCCACAATGGTATAAAGTCTGCGGTAGACTTCAAGAAGGATTCATCGAGCGCTGTTGCTGTGGTCGTGATGCCAGTCGGCATTGAACAGAGGTAGCGGAAGGATGAGGCTGCGGCTGGACGCCTGGGTGCCGTGCAACATCTTCGCGTTCGATCTCCAAAGGTCTCTTTGCTTTCTGTTACAATCATACTGGTTTTCCTTTGAGCTAAAGCTGAGCATTACACAAATGCGCAACAATGCTGATGGCGACGCCATACTGTTGTACATTATTGATGATGCCCATATATGCACAGCGGTTACTTCCGTCAGCGAGAAAGCTGCAATGGACCGTAGCAGAGCACAACACTCACTGCTGCTCAACTGTACAAAATAGCCCTTGATCCACGCAACATCCAGGATGATCCTCATCGGTACCCTCATTGAGCCGAGCTGACAGAAGACATCGTCGCTATCGTTTCACCAGACATTCTTGGAGACAAACAACCCAAACGGTCGGAATGAGTTCGAGGTCCTGCCCGCCCCCATTAGCAATTGACAGGGAGCAGCGCACCTGCTTCGAGATTTCTAAAGTGTGCAACAAAAGTAAAGTCAGACAGAAAGAAGGACAATTCGAGGATTCGGCTGCAGCACGAACAGGTGGCAGGTGCGATGGTTGATGAGCTTTGGGCGGCATACGCTGTTTAGCCCCTACATTGCCCACCCGGGACGGCACGAAAACCAAGATCCAGCCACTTTTAGCCTCTACCCCAGGCACCGAAACCGTTTTCAAGGATAACGGCAATGCACAATAAACCTGGGTTCGGGGTTTGTAACAGTAGCGACGAGATGAGTGGACGAGAAGGCCTGTCGCGGGCTGTTAATAAACGCCTGGCGGCAAAATAAGCCTCGCTGCCTCAACGATCGTCGCCTTGCATGCCATATTGCACAACTGCGCCGCACTAAGAAGGCATGCTTGTACTTCACAATGTCTCTCGCAAGAGGTGGGCCGATATGGATATTTCTCCGGCGTTCAGTTCTTTCTCTTCTTCATTGACAACTTTGCATTCGACAGCAGGAGCGTAAAGCAACAATGGCACCCTACCCAGACATAACACCAACAGAAACCTCACCGCCGGAGGTGGTCGCGAAGCCCCCAGCGGAGGACCCCGCGTTACCCGGAATGAAACGCGGCATTGCAATCGGGGTAGTCAGTTCAGTATGTATTATCATGGTCGCACTTCTTGCGTTCTTTGCGTACAGACGGCGAAAGCAACAAGCTGCAGAGCACACCAAACTGAATCCTGAAGAGCCAGTCGAGATGGACGCTGGTGGAGCTTTATGGCCTCAAGAAAAGACACGACACGTCCAAGCAACACCAATTGAAGCTGATGCGCACACTATTCACGAGCTCGATGGGAGCGAAGTTCCAGAGTTGCCAGGGCATTACGAGGGTCAAGAGCTCGCCAACAAGAAGACCCCAAGGACGTCCTACTATGCTGGTGACGATTATGCGTACGGCGCAAGATTGATACAGTTGAATGATTGGAGTGTTGCGCTGGATAATGATCAACCCCGTCCTCCCCAAGAGCCGATACAGAACAGCAACCCATACCTGGAAATATCGCCTTCCCAACAAGCAATAAGCGTGTCGCCCATCGCAGGAACAATGCTCTACACACCGTCACAAAATACGTCGTTCAGTGTATCTCTAATCGCGTTGTCACCGCTCGAAGATGCTCACGTTAGCCCATTACGTGCTGACCAAACACGGCAATAGCGCTACTACAACCAAGCAAGGATATCAATATGAAGAGGCACGCAAAGTCTAGAAATTGGACTTGAAAGAGGAGGGACTAATACAAATGGACAAATCAAATGTATTGGTATCATAAGAAGCCATAAACGTCGCTGCCGGCTACACTTCAGCATAGAGTGTATATAGCCCAATTGGGCACCACGGCATAGCAACAAAGTCCGAAGATCATCGATCTGATACTCAACCCTTCTTCTCTACTGACTTGGACTCGACGTCCAGCGTATCAGTACCCTCATCAATCGGCGGATCAGAGAACAGCCGGCCATCCTTCTTGTCCACAGTCCTCTCCTGCACATCAATCGGCGCATCCACGAACGATCTCTCATCACCCCCCTTCCCCGCCGCAGCAACAGAAACCGCAGATCCCGGTAGCTCAGCGCGAAACACCTGCCCATAACCCACCTCCGCAACATAAGTCGGGCTCTCCAACTCGCTCCACCGCCTCGGCTTCTCATCGCTCGAAACCTCTGCTGGCCCGCCCGAACGATACGCGTAGACCTCTGACTTGGGCGGTTTCTGCGCGTGCTCTTCGTCAGGGCTGTGACTAGACGTCGATCGTGTCTTGTTTCTGTGCGCTTTGTGGTGCCGCATGAAGAACCATGTGCCGAATGCTGCGCGACACACGTTGAGGGCTACGCCGATGCCGATTCCTGCGGATGTGTCGATGTTTAGCCCGCCCCTACTACCATTGCCATCGTTTGCGGGAGTTGTGGGGGTCAGAGAAGTTGGCGAGCTACTAGGTAGACTGTCTGCGAGCTCGGTCGCTGAGGATGGGAGGATGCTGCTTAGAATGCTGGCTAATCCGGAGGCTGATGGAGCCGTCGTGGGAGCTGGAGCAGCGCCCGATACGCCGGGAATGGCTGTTTCCGTTGGTGGCGGAACGGGAGCAGAAGCGACAGTTGGTTGAGCAGAGGGAGGTGTGGCAGCCGGTGATTGACTGGGCAGCAGCGAAGAGCTCACATCGTCGTCATCGTCGTCGTCGTCGGTGTCCGTTGCGGTAGGAATTGGGACTGTAGGATCGGTTGTAGAAGCCATGTCGAATTCTCAAAATATCAAATTAGGTGCAAAGGGTGTCTGGTATTGTTCTTGTGAGGGAGAATGCTGGTATAGTGCACATCGACCGAACAACAACCGTTCCTTGTTTCCCCAGGCGCCCACGAGAGTATGTCTACTTCTTGTACAATCACCGAAATAGAACCAATGTTCCGCCGGAGGGGCACCGATAAAGCAGTACCCACGTCCTAAGAATTGGCACGTACGATAGCGTTAATCACACCAGACCCTAATCTTATCAGGCAAACCTGAATGATGACAAGAGTGAAAGAAGACATTGGCACTTGGCTGAGAGGATACTCGTTTATGTTGACCAAACACGTGCCCAAGCGAGCGGAGATAAAACGGCGTACGACTGCTTCAAGGCTGTCAACGACTAGCCTGGTACAAGTCACTATATGCACGCCAATGATCAATGAGGTGGAATTGACAAGCGCCCGACGACTTCATCTGGTTTTCTTTGGTTCGCAATGTTTCATTCTGAAACATATTCGTCATGATGGCTGAGTCGTTCAACGATTCTCTAGGGCTGTAATCTTGGTGTTGGTGCACTGAATGCAACTCATGGCTTCAAGAAATTCGATTGCGCAGCGAAGGAGGACGTGTAAACCTTTCGAGAAGTGAAAAAGGTCTGAGGTATCAGTCTCATTCTTGCAATGTCACTAGGCTCCGCAACTGACTACACAATAAGAGGCGGACAGTGACCAAGAATCAAGCAGCGAAGAGCTTGGTCAACGCCAGCATACAGCAGTACCCGCGCCGAAAGGCTAACGCGGTGGAGCATTTGGTGGTGTAGCCTTCTTATACTAAGAACACTACTGCAGGGATTCAATCCAAGGCGTTCAACTTAGCTGTTTATATGTGAGAGATGGACCAGGGACTTGTTTAGCAAGACCTTGGAAGTATTCTTCGAAATGCGCTAGCGCTTCTGCCACCTCAATCTCTACCTTCATTGCTGCAATCGGAAGTTGCCTGACGATGAGTTCACCGACCTTGGAATCTCTCAGTAGCGTCGTCGGCGTCATCTGGTACTTCGCAACAAAGTACTTGTCACTAACCCACTGATACTCATCACCCAGCTTGCTGAAATCACTAACAATCTTGTATTGGAATATGATTTTGATTGATTGTGTGTTCTTGTGTCCGTTCCCACAAAACCTGGGCCAGAGATCGCCCATACAAGCTATTGACCCTAGTCCCAATTAGAATGGTAAACAACACGTAATAACGCGGATTTCTTTTGGAAGAACAGAAACGGTTCGTGTATTGTGAAGAAAGCCTTGGAAGCAGTGGAAGGAGCAGTGTTTATATATAGAGCGGATGACCATCGAGGTGGATGGTATGATGAGAGCGTTTGTATGTAGGCGCATCACTGTTGCTTTTCCGGCCATCTATATGTACAATATCGACATCTCTCCGAGGTCCTCCACCAGTCATTACATGTACAAGCATCCCTCGTAACTCATAACATATTCGACAACAGAAGCACAAAGGTAACGATGAAACGCTTGCTTCCAAATGTATCCAACAAGAACCCAAACTCTCCCCTCCTCTTACAAGCCTACCTATCTCTACAAGAAAGCGCCCGAGTAAGGCTTCCGACTCGACTCATACCTCCCATCATCCCTGGGATCAATATCCGGCGTCTCAATCCCATCCTTATGCCCATGCATGTGTGCATCCGCAATCGGCAATCGACTCGGGCTAACCCCCGGACTGTCTGCCCGTCTCCCACCCATCCCCCAATCGTCACTGTACCCCGGCGGGTTCAGCTCATCGCTCCCCCGACTCTGGATACGCATGAGATGGCTCGAGTCGCCCTTGACAAGGCCTAGTCTTTCTTCTTCGGTGCCCGGCGCGGCTTTGGACCCATCGCGGCTGCTCTTCCTGCTATTCCTACTCACAGGTCGTCTGCTGCCCGAGGCTGAGGTTTCGGAGTCGCCACGGTTGCGGTGGAAGACGTTCTGGAATGAGAACTGGCGTTTTGCAATGTGTTGGGGTGGTTTTGGGGGGTAGAGCGTGTCGTCGTTGTGGATGGGAGGGAGTTCGGCGAACTGGATGTGTGTTTTGTAGGAGGTGTCTTGGTGCATGGCGTTTTTGTAGGAGTCCTTGTCCGAGAGAGGGTCGACGTGGTCGGAGGCGCCGTCTGTGGGGATGGGTGGCAAGTGTGTCATGCCAACACCGGACGAGCTGGCGCGGCTGGCGTTCGACTTGCCTCGAGACCGTAGACGCTCGAAGAAGCCGGGGTGGAAGCTGCTGTTGTCGTCGTCTGAGTCGTCTCCAGGGAAGTGGGTCATACCAAGAGGCGGGTGGACCGTCCTCGTGACGACTGTGCCGGTGCGGGTGGGTGGTCGGTTGGGGTCGATGATGGTCTTTCGTCTTCTTATGCCGTCAAACTCTACAGCCTCGCCCTCTCCGATGACCTGCATGTGCTCTTCCTTGATCCTCTTGGCCTCTTGCAGCTCCCTGTGCGATCGCGCCGTACTAAGTGAACGCAGAATGGCACTGCCACCACGAATGGCGTCTGCTCGAGGCTCATACTCGGGCTCTTCCTGTTCGGCCACTGTTCGCACCTGATCCAGGTCGCCCTTGAACACAGCGGCGTCTGGAACGTCCTTGGCTGATTTCGAGAGCTGTAGGAGTACGACACCCGAGCAGATCTGCAAGAAACCCATGATGACTGTGATGATCTGAATCGGGGTTCCCTTGAAGCCCTGGAAAAGCACTGCAGAGGTGACGATGGTGGACGAAGTGAAGAAGACGTAGTAGGTCGGGGTGACCAGTGCAGCGTTGAAGAGGTTCAGTGCTTTCTGAGGATTTTTGGTTAGCATCTGCCAAACAAGGAAACTGGTCGGTCGTTGCACTTACGTTGAGGTAAATGATCTCGGTCAGCAATGTGATTACAACGAACACGAGCAGGACGTAGAGAAACCACTCCTTGAACTGACCGCCGTGCGACCCTGAAGCTTGCGCCACAACAGCCGCGCCCAGACCCTGGGTTGCGACGACACTGAGACCACCAATCAGACTGCATACAGTCAGGTAAACCATCATCGACCTCTTTCCGTACTTGGGACCGAAGTAGAGGGCGATGATGGTGCAGGCGACGATGATGACACCAGCGAAACTGAGGAAGCCTGGCGCAATGACCCATTTCTTCATGTCCTGGATCGATGCCACGGACGACTGTTCTGGAGCGCTGAGAGCGATGATGACCGACCCGACGATACAGTTGAAGCAGCCGACCTTGCCTACAAAGCTGAGCCGCTCCTTGAGGAAGATGCCGGAGAGAAGGGCGCAAATGACGACGGAGAGCGCACCCATCGGCGTTACCAGGATGGCGTCTGTGAAAGCGTATGCGACCAGATTGCAGACCTAGAACCTCCATTAGCCTTCTGTGGTGCGGATGGAGTGGAGAGTCGCTACCTCTCCCAGTATCATGAGCGTCATGCCGAGCCACCACCACGCGTTCTTGAGGTATGCATACCCTTCGCCCGCCTCTTCATTGTACTTCTCGTTGGCCTGTAACAGTCCATGCTTCTTGATCACAAAGGACACGCCGATGAACAAGCCAGATGCGATTGCCAGACATATGCCGATAATCTTGTACGACCCTGGTCGCGAGGACGGGTCGCCGCCCATGCCTCCGCTTCTCGCATGCAGTTGGTGCGCGGCGTACAGTTCTTCGGCGGAGTGCGCGGCATAGAGTTGGTGCGCGCGCGCAAGAAGGGAGCCAGCGGTATCCATGGTGCGGGCTCTGTGGCTGACAGGTGGCTGACGGGTGGCTAGCGCACCACTCTCTGGTCTGGCTGGCTTCGTGGTGGAGAGACGTCTCAGGCACTGGGCTGCTGTCGCGGCCCGAGCATGGACGACGACGAGGCGGTCTTCACGGAGGCGGCCCAGGTGGGAAGGATGTTTTGGGCAGGGCTGGGGGACCGCACGAGCGTGAGACGGCGTACAGGACGGGTGTTTGTGGGAGAGGGCAGTCGCGGGGGCAGTCGCGAGGGCGTGTGTCTGCTTCGGTCGGGGGAAGGAGCGCAGGCAGACTGGGGGCGGTTGGGTGGGATTCAGCTTCGTATGGTGGTGCGCGTAGCTGCTGGTGCTAGAGGCTGGGGTCGATTGGCGGCCCGGGGCTGTGTTGTGGTGGCTCGGGGCTGTGTTGATGCACGCTGCACGCGGGCGCTGGTCGAGGACGCAGGCGGGGTTCAGCACGAGAAGACGGGACGGTGCAGCGGTGGGAGGCACAGCCGGTGGGAGGCACAGTCGGTGGGAGGTATAGTCGGTGGCTACATCGCCTGTCAGGACATGCGAGCCGTTGATTACTGCCCCGTTTCGCAATCTTATCGCTGTCCACACGGCAACCAAGCGGCGGCCCACCACCGCGTCAGCCAAGCAGGGTGGCAGACTGCCGCTCAACGCCCGCGGGGTGCTGGTCGGAACACGGCCGCACCACCGCACAGCAGCCAGTCGCTTGTCCGCCAGCGACCTCTCCCCGACAAAACGTCCCGCCCC